CGATATATATATATATATATACATATATATATATGTTTAAAGGAGAGTTCGGTCACTGACGTGTTCTCTAATGGATAACCAGATACCCGCTAGACTAACCCCCTTGCTCAGTGTGATGAACTGAAGAGAACACGAAAATTTGGCTTCAATAATATGTTCGTGATTAACCGAGTACCAAGTAAGGTCCGTGAAAAAATGGCATGGAGAAACAACTGTTTGAATTGCAAAATTGGTGAATCTAGTTCGGCTGCAGTGAAATGCGAATGAACTCTGAGTGGCCAAAGGCACAAAGTGTTAATTGATTAAATATTCTGGATGCACAAGACACTCGGCGCGTATGACTTTTTGGACTCGGTTGATTGGGTGTTGAAAGAAGACTGTAAATTGGTTCTGATGAAGTAGATTCATATAAACTTTTGGATGATAAGAAATCTGAGTGCAGTTTTGCAATTGAGTGGCGCGGGGGCAATGGCGGGTGACGCTTTTGCTTGGATTACTTGCCACAACAGCCGCTTCTGTTGTTCGGTTTCACTGGACTGTTCAATTTGAGTTGCGGCCGACGAAGATTGTAATCTTCCTGTGCACAGAGTAATCTGAAAACATTGAGAAAAATCGATAAGAGAATCACGTGAGTAGTGCTTGAGAAAACTATGGAAATAAGCAGTATTCACTGGTGAATGGGTCGCTTATGTGGCTTTGTGGAGAAAAGCGAAACATATCCGACGAACACGAAATAAGTTTAGGGTGGATATTTCCTTTACCAATAGTTGTAGTGTGTTTGCTCTGGGGTACGGAGAAGTTAGGCTTCTTCTAACTTTATTCCCCTTTGTCTTACTCTTCAATCGTGTTTGCTCCCTAAAACATACAAAGACTAGGCCGGTTGTCGATTTCTCCCACAACGATTGTGAAAAGTAGATCATTTTCCGGTGATCTGATCACGTTGGCCGAACTGGTGATTCATTTCAGCGCATACGTCATACCAAGTGCATCCAGTGGCTGACTGCTTGAGATTCAGGTCAACACCTAGAAACGTAACCACAACGACGCTTGATCGATCCTACTGCGTCTATAGGATGAGCCCAAATCAGGGCTAACCAACAAAAGGTGTTCAGTTCTGTGAGGGACATAAACGTTGAATAGAGATTTGAGAAGCCAGCAGAAATCGTTTATCCAAGAGGTTAGCCTCACTGTGGTTTGCTTATGCAAAAAAACTCACCATAATGGGACAGCTTGCATTCAAGGATATCTTAAAATTCACATAGACTTATCGTAAAAATTATAAAGATTATGAAAATTCAGTTGAGCTGGACAGGGGAAATTTAGCCCAGTCCAACAGATTCAAAAACCTATCCCCAAGGAATATTGGATTGCTAAATGGAGGTTTTTCAGCTGGCATTTCAGGTACCTCATTCCGATTCGTAAACGTCTAGGCCAGTTGGTTCATGATGTTTACGAAATGGTGCATTGTTGTATTCTCGGAGTGGATCTTGAAGGCTAGAAGTTACTTAAGTCGTCCGTGTTTCGTGTGCCTCCGCGTAAGTGTCAAATGGCATATATAGCGAGTGAGATTTTGTTCGAGGTTCGCCCTAACTTGAAGTTTGTGGACGGGAACACCCATTTTTTTTGAGGTCTAAATCACTTGTAGTCTTTTCCACTTTTAGAGTCTCATTTATTCAGTTATCAGCAACATGACAAAGCGTGCTAGTTCCCAAAAATTCTTTGACGGGTGCGGAAACGACGGTGTTGGTAGGAGAAGGCATTGCCAACCTTAGTTCCGTACGTGGATAATAGTGAGAAATGGAGCTGTGTTCTTCTGTGTGCGACATTCATGTCATTGGTATGTAGTTTTAGGCCGTGAAATGTTAGTTAATGGAAGATTATCGTCTTATCTATTTGTTAAAGTGAACCTCGGTAGGAGTGCTAAACTGTACCACCTATGGGTGCCTGGTCACTTGCCATCCGAATGAAGCACGAGGGCTGCGGTACTGCTTGGCTGCCTGAGCCTAGAGAATATCGTCTGAGGTGCCGGGGTTTGGTCCAAACCACAGACCTCCCGTCAGCAACTTAGTGCTGTAAACTCTTAAAATTGCGTGAGGGATTAAGGCTTCCGAAGATTCGAGGGTGATTCATCCGCTTCCAAACAACACTGAAATTCTGACACCCATGCTCGTGAGTACGTCAGAGTTCAGAAGTGACATGTGGTCCGTCATTGCTGTCTGCCTCGTGGAATTCAAACGATGCTATAACGCAGGTGGGCAAATGTGGTTAAGTAAACGAGATACCCACTGGATCGCTAAGTTAGTGGAAGGAGTACCTGCAATTCAAAAACACGGAGAAATTCTTGAAACATCGCCCCCGGCACATACTGGAGAGGTCTCCGGAGCCATGCAGCTACATGACCTCTGGTTGTCACACCATGAAAATATAAAGCTATCTGAATATCAATCCTAAGAAGGCAGATTGCTCGGTACAGTTACTTAAAAAAATGCACACATTTACCGTTGCAATTTTTGTGCTTTACCCTAGCCGCAGAAGAAAGAACATCTTATGACATCTTTTTTTCATCTGACCGGTTGTCCCTCATTGAGGGGCAACCACTATCCTATGTTTCATTTCATTGTTGATAAAGTCAGCGGCCGCAAACAAACGCACAAACCTGGAAGGGTTAATCCAACATAACACATTAGTTCCCGGACCCATTGGTGCAACTTAGAATCTGCACTTATGGTGAGATTTCTTGGTACTGTTTACAACACACCCATTTGGACCTGAAGAAAGCCCGGGAATGTCCTTCGGAAGTGCTGCACCGCCCAACGGCCATCTTTACCCCATTGCAGTCCTTCATATCCAGACAAAATTCAACCAAGATTAACTTCTTAAATTAACATGTTATAGGGTGTATATTTGTGCTGTGTTTGCTGTCAGCTTCATTATATATTCCGTTCCCATACCACGGACTAATTACATCCTCAATTACGAGATCGGATTCAAACGGCGCTTACCTCGTCAGTTCGGTAGCACAGTCCTCAACGTTCTCCCCGGTCAACGCACTGGTTTCGAAGAACAATGCACCAATTTCCTAGAAAATAAGTGGAAGTGGGCGGGTGTAAATAGGTTAAATTTAGTTATCTGTCTCTTTGATGTATTCAAACTATTCGCATAAATATGCCTAAAATTCATCGATTGTGAATTGCCGGGTCATCTTGATCAAACGTTTTTGTCTGCATAAAGTTAATCACTGCTAGGTCAGTTGAGTCAGTATTGTAGGGTCAATACGCAGTGATCAAAATGTAGTATTGTCGTCAAGGTGCACCTATTCTCTGTGTCGGTTAAAAGCGTGCGCACCTTGGAGCCGGTGGCTAATTGGGGAACGGAACATGTGCCATCCTTTTGCGTCCTTTGTCCGTACAGTCGGGGTCGAAGTCAATTTATGTGGACGAATTTATATAATGGATTTTTTCTGCTAATTTATCAAAAATAACCCGGGTTACTGTTACCGCATAAAGACGAGTCCAACTCATCACTTGGTTCGCTGAGTGAACCTAACAATACCTACATTTGTTGAAGACAGAATGTTGAAGGAAAAAAACAGATAAATATACACAAAGTCTTTAGTGCCTATTTCCTCTCGGTTGACCTTGCCTATAATGATAGATTGAAGTTCACTCCTCACTTCTGGGGTATGGTCAAGTTCTGGTACAGTTTCTGTGCAAATCTTCTGCAAAATTAAATCGGTATTTAGTCTTTACAGGGGGTACGGCTGAATCCCAGATAGACCCCTCGCTTAAGATAATTTTCGACTGAATGTGCTACACAAATGCCACTTCATGTTTCAGTTGGTACGATATTCAAGATACTGCAGTAAATTTTCTTGACGGAACACTATTCAAAAGGTTGCTAAAAACATTTCAACAGCCAACAACCGGTTCGGCCTTTGTTGGAGCACATCGCGTAGATGTGGCCCCCAAATTTCCGCCAGCTTTGTGTACTGCTTGAACCCAAATTGAACGTACTTAGCGAAATGCTCTCATTTGCACACCAGTGTTCAGTGGTGAAAATCCTCCTAATACCTTGAAACATGCTTGCATACGTGTCTTGGATTAGATCACCTCTGCTGTCATTGTTGGACCGTGGAAACCTAACCCTGCTGTGCGCTTTGTAGTGATTCGTTGGAACTGGCGATATTATTGTATTCAACTCCACTATTCAGCGAAACATAATCGTTGCTTTCGTCACATCTGAGCAGCAAAACCCGTAGTTTTAAGTATGCGAAGTTATATATCTTTCAACTTCAATAATAGATAGGCAGCTCTCTCCTTGGGGATACTTCTCTTGGACAGCGTTTTACCCCCGTAATTCGAATCAATTTGATACCAGGTTGTTAAACGTTCTTACTGGAAGCACATTGAATCCGGAGACACCCTCTGCAGTTATTAGGAGTGCGAAAAATCCAAATTCGCTTCCAGGAACATGGTACTTTGATTAAACCTATAGCATTGCCTGGGTTTTCACGACTTTCTACCGAATGTTCTCTGGACATGCATTCCATCTTAGTCACTTGCGTGGAGGTGTAAGTTCTAACCAGGCCCTTACGAATAAGCTAACCAAACCATGGTATAAATGATTGGCCGATTGTGCCAACGCTCGGCTACAGCATGTTTGTCCCATTACTCAGCCAGCCTTATCCCATATTCGTACTGCTAGCTGGGAAAGCTGCAGATGCGGCCGTCTCTATTGATGGTTCGCTTAACCTGGTTCGTGGCCTGCTGTGATCAATCATTGATCACAGACATTTGAGCTTAAATCTCTAGGTATTTTTAGATATGCATAGCTTACTATAGATCATTTTATTCTGGGATCTTCTCTGAAAACATTGCTGCGCCTGGAGCTTTAATCAAGCGAAGCATATGCTGACATGGACGAGGAAGTTCAGAGTTATTCAAATAACCCTAAAGGTTGGTTTGTGGAGATCCAAGCAAATCAAAGTTTTTTTTGGGGTCTGTGAAGATCATTTTTCGGGTTTGCCCTAAGTTAGGAAAGCATGACAGTAAAATGCGAATTGTGTTGAACGAACTCAAACTCAGTGTTTTGAAGCATATGTTGCACAATGTGGCCGTGTGTCACGGCTAACATCCCCGCGCATGACCACCGGCAGGTGAAATAGTGGTAATTGTTGGATTAGAAAGTGAGTATGAGGTAAATTTCATTTTTAACAAGAGTAAACGAGGCCATTTCTTACAGTCCTATCAATACAGACGTTTAGGGGGAACAGCGCTCAAGTCTATGAGTCCTTGATGTCACGCTCTATTCGCAAGGTTGGGAATCATCTCAAGAAGGAACTAGAAGCGCCTGATGAAAGACAAATGAATACCAAGAAGCTGCACTTTTCAGGAGACTGCGTCATGGATTGCTCGTAATACTACTCTGCTTTGTAATGTTACTACCCAATGATAATAGCTCATAATACGTGTGTATTGATCAGACAGTTTGAATAGACGAAATGACCAGGTAAACATGAACGGTTGGACTTGACAGAGAACGTTGCTCGTTTTCTACTCTACATCAAACGTGGATCCAACCTTGCATCCTTCAAGGTGCAATATGGGATAATATGCGTTGCTTTTTAGTGCCTACAAGTGGGGCTGACAAGCATTTGTGAGTCCCTTTTCGAGTTTATCCAGTTGGCATGCATTGGCGAAGTTGCGGAATATGGATGGCTAGGATGCGCTGTTTGGTTGCTGGTTTGTTTGCCGAGCTTTGTTGTTAGATCGGGAATGTTTTGCCACCAGTCAACAAAACATCGTAGTTGCGATGACGCCAACCAGAATGGGATGAACTGAAAGCTTATAACAGATATGGCACAGTACGCCACTTGTCTCGATTGACATTCTTTTGGTATTACTCACAGGTTTTTGGTACATCTTGAAGAGGTTCGTGCATTTCTACAGTTCCAACGCAGTTTTCCATTTCCTTACTTCGAAAGTCTGGTTCCTCAGTTCAGGTACTATTGCATTTGATGAAACTGTTTAGAGTTGACCGAGGTTAACCGAACACCTAGCACTCTTCGTTTCGTGTCTGGGTTTTGCGGGAGACTCTCAAAGTATGCCATTCAACAGATGTCATGGAAGCAGAGACGAAAGAATTATATGTGTCGCTCGCGGAACTTTTTCTTGAACGTGGACATATTGATTCTCAAATTGAAAGCCTGGTTTGCAGTTGGGTTGGAAATTTAAAAATAGTGTTTTCTGGAGTACCCAAATTCATCTTATCCGGACCTATCTTCTAAGTACTTCTGAGCATAACTTTGCATTGGGCAGATAAATAAATTCCCAATGTTATAATTTCTTTTTGCACCTTGACTGTACTGCGTCACTAATAACGACGAACTTGACGAAAAATCACTGGAGATGGTAGATGGGACGGAAAAAACCTGTTTTTAAAACAAATCTTTCTGGCTGGTCACGAATTTCTAGACAGTAAGCTACCGGAACTATAAAGAGTTGGAAAGGCCTCATTGTGAACACCTTTTCCGTGTTCTATCCAGATCGATTCTCTGAAAAAGTAATACCTACAACCCATTTGCCGTTTGGCAAAGTTTATTGACAGGAATTTGTCCCGAAATTTACCTGTGCGAATTTCCTTCCTTCCACATAGGTGACGCAGTGCGCACCCAGTAATTCTTGCTGATCACGAAGATCCACCTTGTTTCCGATAATAGCCACGGGGATCTCACGACCAGCGTTTTCCTGTGGGAAAAATAGGTTTGGTCATCTAATTGTTAGCAGGTCACTGAATAACAAGAACTTTTGACTCAAAAACAAAATGGCAAGCAAACTAGTTCTTTGTACGTGCCATTCCGGCTTCAGGCTTCCAAAAGTGGGTCTCAAATTCCCCCCTGATTTCTGTCGAGAAACCTCTGTGTGCTTGTGGAAACACATGACAGCATCCTGATTTCATCATTTATTTTCTTGGGACAGCCCTTTTCACACCTTCATGCTCAACGTTGGAGTCTCCTTCCAACAGTTGATGGAGTATTTTCACGCCAGTGACTCAAAACCATAGGCAGTTCGGTTTTGCCACAAACGTTGGGCATTGTTCTCCGGCTTAAAAGCTACGTTCATCATCCTAAGGCCTCACACATCCTGCGCCAAATTTATACTGGTGGATTGACACCAATATCGCGTCCATTCATCTCTATCGGGAATCCATCAGGATCCAGACAGCAATATTGCTATATCCGGAAGTGAGTAAAAGCATCAGTGTCATCTCCCATGATTCTTGGCATGTTAACTCTGATTTTTTTTTAAGAATCAACCTTTCATAATTTGTTGACGCGATCCCCTTAGGTGCTTACGCCACTCGCATGAGTTGAACAATCCAGGGTCGACTCTGACTAGCCCTCCGGGTTCTGCTACTATGTCGAAAATGACTTTTCGCTCATAAAGGGGCATGGTGTAAAAGACACCAGTAATGAAAAATGGCCACACTTTCAGCATATGCCTATAATGTGGCAGGCTGCCACCCATTTTCCGACTCTGCTGGTATTGCTAACCTTAAATTCCTGCGGCTACGCCATAGGGTAAAAACTACATCAGCTACTGATTTTATAATCCACCAGAAAGCCGAAAATACCTTGGATAAATTAGCAGAGTTCAAAGATCAGTTAAGTTGTGCATTCGTTCTACTTTTAGACCTACTTCTAGACCTGTATATGTAATTTGCCTGGGTTTTGAAAACGGCTGTTTGTCCTGGAACCGACATTACCCCAGTAGTTTAAAGCAGCTACACATTTTCTTGTCTTCCAGTCGCGAGGTGTAGGAGATGAATTAGCGAAAAATCAATAAGTAATGGAAATTTAGGTACGTGTAGCACCGCCCTTCGAAATCTAAAGAAATACTCGTTTTCCTCAATGTCACTCTCTCTCCCCAAATACTTGCTTCCATAGTTGATTCATCCAAAATATGAACTGTGATTCCGCTATACATAGAAGTTGAGGCATATAATAGAACGCTTGCGTTGGTTGTGAAACGGATTATTTTCTGTTCAGTAAAATCGAATTTCCTTCACTGCCATTGTTGGCAAGATGAATTTTGCGATGAACTATACATTTGTCTCCGTTCCACTGCCTGACTTCAACCGACCCCAGTATTTTGCGATAAACCATGTTCCGCATGCCATCATACACCGCCAACGCGGGTGACCCAGATGATATAAACACCTGGCTTGGCTCATTGGCCTCAGCCTACTGACAGTCTTTGAATCTGTCTCCTGATTATGCAGTATCGGGCCACCATTGGTTGGATTGCTAAAACAGATATTAAAAATTCTGCGGTAAATAGTCCTTTTTAGCTTCGCCTTTGCTCAGTCAGCACGACAAGAAGCGGATTTTCCCACTGTCGAAAGCGGTGCTCAAAGCATTGAACTTCGCCAACAAAAGAGATTGATAGTTTAATGAATGATGAGAGGAAGAGTCAAACAGTTGATTATTTTGTAGTCCCAACATGTATTAAACATTGAAAGGTGGGGCCAAAACCATGATAACCTCAAGTGAAGGTTGGGATTTCAGAATATTACTGTCGGGCTGATTTGTAGACCGAGTGAGCTCGGTAAATTAGTTCATTTGATGAAAGCTGTTTACGCTGCCACATTTAATGGTAACGCAATGCGTTGCAGCATCCGGCGGTCAACCATCGATAGAAATTTTGAGATGCAACTTGTTACTACGTCAGTTTATTGTACCAGCACCTCCGGTTACCGACCCTTCTCTCACAAAACAGACTGTGTTGGCAAATGTGCGCTTCGGCGGAACATTTGTGAACCCAGAAGACTGTTCTGGTGTACTCAAACTTCATCCAATACAAGTCTGTCTAGTTGGATAATAATAATATCTATACATCCAGATTGTTTTTGAGAGAACCCTTTAAAATTGACGGGCAAGCTTAAAGGTTTATTCATATTCCATAACTAAGACCACAGATTCGAAAATTTCATTTCATTTTGGGGGATATCAGTAAAGTATTTGGGGAGGAGTACTTAGGGTGTATTTCGCCTGGTTGAAAGGTTTTGGTCGCAGGGAGCAATCTCTGGTGGGAGCGGATTAACCGCGACCACAATGAGCATCACACATTTGAGGAAGGTAGGTTGAAATAGCCCAATCTTCACCATCAGAGTTCTTATCAACACCCCACTGACAACTCTGATCTACAGGAGGACATTCTTGGTGTATCCTAGTAGAATAAGCTGTAAGGGACTGGAACAGTCAATGAATAGAAGGCAGCCTGATCAGAGTCAATATTGGTGTATGAATCGAAAAGATGTTTTGCAACATTGGGTTGCTGGTTTAAGGGGGAGGGTTCAAAATGTGTTCAAAATGTGTCAGTAATTAAAATCTGAGCTCTTGCAGATTAAGGAATCTTGCTCTCCTTGGGTGACGGATGAATTCGGAGGGAACGCGAAGTGTTCCATGTTCAGAGACAGTAGGAGAAAACACTCATTATGTATTTATTTATTTATTTGTTAATGTGTTTATTTATTTTCAACTGCACACACTCTAAAGGCTGGTTGAATGACAGTGTCAGAGTATTGGTTGGTTAAATTTACCTGAACAGTACTCATCCATTCACGAATATTCAAGAACGAGGACTCTTGAGTACAGTCATAGACCAAGAGTATTCCATCAGCTTTCCTGTAAAAGTTGGCCGATATGCTGCGGAACCTGAAAATAAAGAAAAAATTAAACGACTATGTTGGGTCAACCCCAGTTGCGATTTTTTCAGGCATAGCACACATCAAGATTGTTCTCTATAGAGGAAAAAGGTTGGTAGCTCAGGTAGCGTAGACGTTTGTTGGTTTGTTCGCTGAGCTGGGCAATTTGATTGCAAACGTTTCATTACCAATAGAAGTGACATCATCAGTGCGTTAATGACACCTCGATTAATGATAAAACGTTTGCAACCAAACTTCCCAGCTCGGCGAACAAGCCAACGACCATAAAGACTGTTATTTTGGTTAAAGTCCAACCTTTATGGCCATTGTATCGTTCTTACTCAAATTTTTCCACTAAATTTAGAGCGTTTTTTTTCGGAAACACCTACCGTGAACTACCACAGTATGTTTACCATGTATATATATACATATATATATATTTCTTTTACCACAAAAGTTCTTCTAATCAACCACAAATTGCTCAGCTTTCAGTAAACGACACACTGGTGCTGTAAAACCTCAATAAACTTTTGTGAATATACCAGTCTAATTCATCACTTTTGCTTACGCGACAGTGTAATATAGAAATAAATCAAAGAATGGGTGACTGACTTAATGGCCTACAAGTACAAATGATGCTAAAAAGATTAGCCAATAAAATCAAAGAATCCGTTATCCATAAGTGAAGTGGCAACTTTTGTTTGAATACTTTCATGTACTTATCGAAAATACCTTTCTTGCCCAGCTGTGTCCCAGATCTGGAGCATTGCCGTACGATCGTCCACAGTTATCGAACGCATTTTCATATCGATACCTACAGGTGTAAGAAGACACGTGGTTGCATATTTGTTCAGCGAAACGTTCTACATGCATGGTGAACCTCCCATTTCAAGTGGCAGTGATACCAACTTTGTGTGATCTCATCTCTGATGTCAACTGATAGACGGTGAAGCTACTGTACGTATTACACAAAACAAGCAAAATTGACACAATAAAAGAAACTTTAGTGGTGTTGTAACAACCAGGTGAATGCGGAGAGCCATGTCGTTCTTCAGCGTACTGCCCCAAACACACGGATGGTTCAACACCTGTTAGAAGCTTTTGTGGTCCACCACTCTTGTCTTTTTCGTCTGTTTAGTCATAGCTAGCTTTTTTGTTGGCTCCCCTGTTCTGTAGGGTGGGCAATGTGAATCCAAACTCAAACTTCAGACTTGTGCGATATGGTCAAGGGATTAAGTTAGGCTCCTACCTATCGCTCGTTCCCGACAGAGCAGGCAACCTCTCTTCAACACTAGCTATATCCGCTATAGGCTTTGACGCAGCCTGTGAAGTTCTGGCAGGAAACTGTAACCAATGTGTGCTTTTGATTGATGGCATAAATGGAAGTCATGAGGCTGCCTGTCTGTTTTGGAACTATTGTGCTAGACGGGCTTATGCAATTAGGCGAATCTGATCACTGTTCTTCCATGCGCGCTGGCTGCGGTTTCAAGTGTTCTGAATTTTTCAGGTAGAGGCAGAAGCAGCGGCTCTTTGGTTTGCAAATAAGTTAGAACGGCATTTCAGGGGTGACATTTAAATGAAGTCACCGAACCAATCGCTCATTCAGTAGGGGTGCATCAGTGTCTCCGCCGGAATGTTTAGGGAAAGGCGATTCTTGGGGGATGCTCCCCAGGCGGATCGAGTTGAATTTGGGTTAGCCAACTAACGAGCGAAAATTGGAAAAAAGAAAAACCTAAGGCCACCTGTGACAATCGCAAGCGCGTTCTTCGGAAGCCGACCGACCTCTGTACATTCATGATCATAGATGAGTCAAAGGTGGCCGCAGTCACTTAAACTACTGCTTGGCCCGTCACCGGGTTCAGCTCTCACCAAGTGACTTTGCGTTTTGTCCAACTCAGCTCTTTGGCTCGAACTGACTGACGCCATGCTGACTGATACCAACTCGTATCATCTAACTTCATGCCATTGAGTCCCGTTTCATGACTCCCATCTGATCAATGTTGACAACTTTCGAAACGTCGTTCAAATGTCGTCAACCTGTTTGTCAAACTTCTGCTTCTCCTGATCAAATTTTCATATCAAGACTATTCCGGGATCCCTCTTCTTCAATACTGTAAATAGATTCTGAAGTTTTTTCCTGCATTCTATCTCATCGAGGCCGCCGGAGAGCCTCTTGGCTACACTTTTATCCCAGTCGATGGGCAGTATCCTTGTCCAGTATTGCGTACGAATGCTTTTTGGTAGGTGAGTCCGTAGAATCCGCTTTGCCCATACTCCTTATCCAAAAGCCATGTTGGCTTTTGCAGCCTGATAGCTCAGCTCAAAGTCAACATCGAACTCAAAGCGAACCTTTGATATCTGATACCCAGGTAGACAAATTTTGCATAGTATTCATCTCACTCACTGTCTCACTCTGTGCTTTAATATAAACAGTCACACCGTTATATAAATTCGTCATTCATTATAAGAACTTTTGTTCTCTCGTCTTGAGTCGTGTAGCACGAGTTCAATAAATCGAATGCAGAACCAAGCACACGAACTGGTGATTCACTGACTATCGTTCGGAAATGGGATGCTTCTTTGATTTAATTATCGCTCGCTTGATGTTATCAAGCGTTATCGAGCGTTCTCCTTTCACCAGGACGCACATGGCTACTTTCTGTCCAGCACATGATATTAGCGCTTTATGGCTTCAGCTGACGTCAATTTTTTCAGTGAATTCCATTGACCTTCAGAAGAACCGCAGTAGTCACTTGCATTTTTCTGATGAGATCATGAAGCTTCTCCGTTTTTCGTTACTTGGGCTGTTAACTGTGGTCCAAGGCAGCCAATCTGGAATCCCGTTTTGATCATACAGTTGGATATTTATGACTCTTCATTGAGCCGCTCCTAATCACGTAATAAGCGCAAAATTTTGAGATGTCACTTGAAGACAGACGTATTTAAACGAATTGTCATCATTATTTGGCGCATGTGGGCATATCAACAATGGACTGTTGAGGTAATCGCGGGAATAAAACACCCCTATCCAAGGCAGGAAAACGTTGGTGCACGTTCTACTGCAAGTACTCTGCCAAAGGTACAACTTCGGTCGTTACATACCGCTGAGTATGTACAGCGCTGTAGAACGCATCTTGGCCGTCGGTCAATTAAACGACATGAGACTCAGAGTATAGAAGTCTTAACAGAGGCGTGTGAGAGTACTTCGTCCAACAATTAGCTTATCGCTGCGGTACACAATTTTTCATCGCCTGACAGTAGCGCGTCGCTGCTGCCGCCTTGCGTATTATGTTGTGAAGAGACACTGAGGAAGTTGGAGTCTATGGGCTGACCGTACGCTTCGCAGCTGGTGCATATATGAGTGTTTACCTGCGTGGTAAGCACGTCCACGCTGTGTTTACCCACTTAGTGACAATACAGTGTAAATGATTCGGATTCTAAAACGCCAGTTTAACAATCATCTGACTGACGACTGCAGTTCGGTATTTATCCCCAAGGCTGTTATAGATGCAATGGTAATGGAACTATGAGAGGAAAAGGGATGTTCCAGGAAGTTGTTTATCGGATACGAGACATCCTTTAGACGGATACTTAAGACAATTTTTATCACATTGGTGTTTCTCGCTGCTCCTGAATTTCGGCAACATTTCACCGGTTTCTATACCGCCCATTTAACTACCTACCTAGTCAAATATTTCTAGCACCCTCTAATCGAATTTCAATTGCTTCATTCCGCCTAGTTTAAATGAATAATAAGGGTGTAACCAATAAGTTGTCAAGTTCTTACTCGTTTTGATTCGCTGGCATTCGTAAGATCTGCAAAATGTGTAAAAATGCACGCATACTGGTAGCTGTTTCATCCACTGATTAATACTTCTGGGTGTGCATTGATCTTTTGACTTATGCATATCCGTTTCCCATCCACTCGTCGGCCTAAGTAAATGGAGTTGTATTTCAACATAGGGGCATGTTAGGTGCACTCTGATGACATTCGCGCGCGCACACATCGAGCATGTGTCGTGGAACATGACCAGCAGTATTTGATGGAAACATGACTGATCTGGTATAATGTAAGTAACCGTAAAACATTTCATTTTCAGTCAAAAGTATTTGAAACCCCTTCGGTCCGTCTGATTGCTTAAAGGACAACGAGCTTCAAATCGGCTAAATCTAGATTTACACAAGTAAATAGATCAAAATTATTTTTGGACATGAAAATACTGAGCAGTTTTGAAGACGGCGTAAATACACATGGACCGCGGCATTTGGAGCACCACTCTGCGGAAATCACATAGATATGTTTGTCCTGCTGTGCCCTGTAATTGGCTCATCAGGTTTGTTCCTAACAGGGTCAAAGCTGTTAAAATGATGAAATGTTTTGTCACGTTGAGACTGTTTGTCATTTCTTTGCACTCCCAGCAAGAAGTGTCTTGCACGATAACCATGTAGTGGTGGCGATAATCAGACGAAGAGCTTTTCTATTCATAGACCTCTTGACTGCAGCCGTGATCAACTGATATTCTAACCACCAAAGACTTTTCTTGCAGACGGAAAAATGCGTTGTACAAACATGGATCGAAGCAACGAATCATATCTGTCGTTTACTGAGCTTAAGTGATCGAGCGGTTGTGGTCACGTGAGAATGTTTGCACGATTTACTTTTGTCTCAAATCAATTCAAAATTAAATCGATTGTTTTCGAGGTCAGAAAATGGTAGAATGGACAACTAGAATGGGTTTTTCAGGAAAAAACGAAGCAACTGAATGACTAACCTATGGTTGAGACAGCTTTTCCGGTAAACACGTTATCGCAAAGCCGTACAAGTAAACTTGTCTTGCCAACAGCTGAGTCCCCAGCAAGCATGACGCGGAATATTCTCAATTTGTCATCCATCAGCGCAGTCGAAGTGGCTGTTGAACGATGCAGTTGCTTTTGATCAGATGCTGGTCCATAGTCTGCAGCTACAGAGGACATCGGCTGCACACCCTCGCTATAGTGTACCACCTTTTCTTGTGCAAAGGTTTGATTACTGTCAACTACGCATTGTGAGTCTGGATTGGCGGAAGTAGATACCAAAACATCCTCCTCCATACTGTCTCTTCGGCTACCAAGTGAACGCGTCGCTTCTTGTACTGTGAGACTGGATACCGTACGCTAAAGTTGAGGGGAGTAAATATGACAAAAACAAAGCACTTGAGATCAGTCCACAGTTCGGTCACGGGACAGAAAAATGCTAGACAACGGTTGTAACGGTGCTCACCATGTTAGGGAAAACAAATTACTTTCTTAAAGGCAATTTCCCACAGACCGGTTTCGCCTGTCTTATTCAACCTCATCAGGCGGGCACATTTCCCGAGTTCCCGTCAAACTTATGTCTCACTTCCGAGTTCCCGCAAACTTATGTCTCACTTGGGAGAGTCTCCGTTGGGTTTCCAACGAAAACCGAATTGGTGTGCAAATTGTTCGCGGTCCAATTAGAAGATAACATTGCTTGAATCTAGGAAGCTGCTTACATAACGAGCTCCAAAAAAGGGTATAACCGGCTGCGGCCCGTCGAAGTATTCTCAGCAAACTTGTAAGTAGTTGACTTAAAGAAAATATGTCACTATATCTTGAAAATCGTACGAATTTAGACATAAAACGGTCCTTGTGTGGTACGTTCGGCTGAAAAAAACGTAGTAAGCGAAAGATTCAGCTGGGATTCGCTAGAGTCCCCTGTGGATGTCAGTTTGTGTGCAAAAGAAAGTATTTCGTGAAAATAATTTCAAACTGGAGTCCTCACAGTTGGGACTACGATTGCCCATTGAATATTATATATATCTGATACACATTTGATTCTTTGGTTCGGGGCAAGGAACCCGAGTGTTCTGGATTGACTATGAAAAAATGATGCTGGATGGGGTACTCAATAATGTGTATTCAAAAATGAATGACAAGGATTGGAAAATGTCTGGTGTCAACCGCTTCACCTCCTGTTTTCAAAAATACTTAGAGGTCAAAGTTACGCAGCAAAGGCCTGTTTGACCAGCTTTGAATATGTCCTCTAGTGAGTATCTTTCACATAAGGAGACATCATTTTACGCGCGATCGAAAACAATTTCTCTATTAACTAGTATTTCTTTCTCACAGGTTTGAACACAACACTGTCAAGCTTGCACCCTTTGTTCCAAAGACCCATTGGATTCATAAAAACCTGAGGTCCAGTTTCATCACAAATCTTCAGTCCCTTTGCTAGTGTTCTGCACATTCCAACACTCCCCTCCACTGTCCTCTTAACGCTTATGCTATTTCGCCCACTGAACGTAATATTTTAAGCGTCCTCGTGATTCATTGGATCTTTTCTCTCTAACGACAAGCATTCTTGCGACTATTATTAAGAATTTCTCAGCTTCAACTTCATACTTGACTTCCACCCTCTCTGAAAACGCAGATTATTCCACGAATCCCGGATCACACCGCTGAACAATCTAAAACACCGAAGAAATGGAGGCTGAAATGATCGACAGCATCAAATGACGTAAAGTGAGCCCTGTTCCCCAGTTCATTAGGAATGCAGCCTCCAGTCTATCAAGAGCGAGCAGCTTTGGTTTTCAACTGCTAGGCTGTTCCCATTTGCGTCAGCGTAGTCCCAATTAATACACTGAATGTTTCGTAGCCTCAAGCCTACAACGATTCTAAAAGTGGCCACGGTCATATGGCCCAAGCTAAACAAGCTGTCATACAAGCTGGCCATATGTATATGACCGGGGTGTGTCTCATGTGTGCTGTGGCCTACCAGACAATCCCTCGATTATGATACGATTGTAAACCGTTTGGTCGCATCCAGCATCCCTACCTGAGTGGTCCGTCAGTGGTTCCCCGTGGTGAGGCTCTGCTTCGGTAGTCAGGCTCCATGTTGTTTTTGACTCACATCTCATACTTGAACTGCGTGGCGCTTTATTGTTTTGAAACGTGATTTAATTTATCCTCTTCTATTCTATTTTTGTGTATTTTCTGTACCCACCCATCTGCAACGGCACTCCGAAAAATCTTGAGTGTTAAGTCTGTGACGTTAAGTCTATGATGTTAAGTCTATGTGCTGGAGGTGACTGTCTGCGGCGTCGTTACCTATATCCAGTTAAAAGATCATTAGCACTATGTAGCCATATGCTTAGAGCGTATCTCCTGAGTGCTGCTGCCCACTAGATACCCTTTTGAGCGCACTTTAAGGAGCAGCTGTTCAGTGGTACGCACCTGAGTGGATAGTTATGAGTCACCAAGAGGGTACGCATGCGGCTTCGGAACTGACCCCCTCACTCCTCCTCCAGCTCAAACCGTATGTGGCATTACCCAGTATGCGTGTTCCTACCGGTGTAGATCGATGTGATATGCCAATCCGGAAAGGTATAGCAGCCCACCATTCATCAGCTAGGCCAACGGTGTGATGACTGTCTTGCGTACTGAACACCAAAGGCCGTGTGAGCTGTTAGTTAAATTGTGTATGCCACTTTGGCATGACATTTTACCCTTGCTTCACACGTATGTATGAAGGTCAAGCATGTGCGTCACCAGGGGCACAACCGATGAGCTGTGCTCACTGTCTCTGAGTCAAATAGTCGAAACAGAAGCCCGCTGGGCATTACAGACAAACCGTACGAAATACCATCTCGTTACGCCACTGAGACGCCACGGTACATTAAAAACTCAGTTATCCATCCTATCACCCTATCCGCTCGTTGTGTTTTCGCACGAATGTGCTCACGTGCAGATCGGCAGTCCTGGAGCTGCCACTGACAAGGCCGTTTGACTACTCATGCTACTTACAACGGTGAATCCCTTCTGTCGCGAAAGTTGGAAGTTTGCTGTCGCATCCTGACTGCACATAGAGGTCAACGATCGTTCGGTTGGTGAGCTTGCATAGGTTTCATCACTTATGCTTGTTTATGCATGCTCACCAGGAAATCAGTATTCCGTTTGTTGAACCTTCAACGGTTTGTCTGTCCCGCACCCATAAGGCGGTCGGATGGGCTGAACGATCCGACGGCCTGACTCATCTCTACCATATCGTACTTGTCTGTGGCACCCACAAACGGATGGAGAAATCGTTGTCTGTGGTGTCCCATGCAGTGTCGAGATGCAGTGCGCACTACAGCACATTCGCACAACCGAGCGATATACGGAATGGATGACTGGAAAACTGGACGAAGTGCCCGAACAAGTGACAGGAGGGTACATGTAGCACACGTGAGATCCTGCCTCGTCGTTGGCTCGAAAGCTAACTCAGACATTTGTTTCCAATGCATGCAACTTGCTTAGTTACGGTTTGTGTCTATGCTTATATCTTATGTAAGTTTGATGATCGGCCAGGTAGTTTGACTTGGCTGTAGGATTAACGCCATCCGGACAGCAAAAGTCGAATCGGTAGCTCCTGAAGGTCGGTTGCACGTCGTATCAGACAGGGGCCGTATTTCAAAGGTAAATTCAAGAGCAAAATTGACCGTGCAGACGTCCGTCATACTACACAGAAATTTGCTACAAGGAGGTTGCAGTGTACGAGGAGTACTGTGTATTTCATCTCGGCTGCTTCTGAATGTTTCTGCTGAGAGAAAAAGTTGGTTGCTTTGTTTCCAGTAAATGCTTATCCTTGACAATCAACAAGCTATACTTTTGACAGCCAGCGTTATCTACGGTGAGTGTAGAGGGCAATATGGCTCAGTGGTTAGAGCGCGAATTTACTGACCGTAAGGTCCGCGGTTCGGTCCCGACCTCTGTATCTCGACTTCTCCTGTCTAGGCTTGGGCAGCCCGGCAGCATCCCAGCCCTCGTGCCTCCTTCGGATGGCATGGCAGCTAGTCCACAAAAGGGTGAACGATGGTAACACTACCCTCTGGAGACGGCATACCAAAGAATGATTATAACTCCACTAACATCTAAAAGCTCCACATATGCTTCATTCAGGTTTGTAAGTCAAGTGTCTGAGGCTTTTTGAAACCAACTGACTCTACCCAATGATGCAACTTTACTTAACCAAGCTCGCCACCCTTCATCGTACAAATTTACTTCACTTTATATATAAATGCACTGTTAATATTGTTTTTCGCGGTAAACAATGCGGTAGTTCAATGGTCAAAATAAGAAGGAACTGAAATACTTCTCAAAATAACGACTCACCGCGTTCTTTTGGCTTGAGATTGCAGCGTGGTCGACTGGTGATTCCAACTCCATCTCGGACTCAAACTCTGGAACATCGCGCAAACTCGAAAGTCCACTGTCTATAGAAAAAAGACCAAAGACGGAGTGAAAAGGCCGAATTTCCTTAGAAATGACGTTCAAAAGATGATTGAGTAGTTCCCGTTCAGCAGAGAAGCTCCGTGAAACACACAGGTATTACTTTGAATACAGTAGTCGATTATGTTTTCCTAGGCATTAAGAGTCCCGGACGCGGTAGAGATTTCAGTTCATGCACCCACCTCCCCAACAGCATCACTGAGTCATGTATGAACTAATTACTCTCTAACAAACAATTCGAAGGGAACACGGACTTAAATCGTCCACCACTGCTACATAATGACAACCTACCAATCGGACGTCATTCCACCCATCAAGCTTCCTGCGGCTGTCATTGTTGTCACGCCGGATTGCTACTATCCAGTACTCATTGTCCGCTACCGTAGATGGAAACGCTGATAACAATGCTTCCAAATACAAACTAGACGAACATCTGCGAGCCAGGTGGTACCGGTCTCAGCAATGACCACCGATGTAACGGTGATACTATTGATGGGGGAGGCATGTGAGTAGTATGTTTTTTTTGTAAATTCGCTTTGCTCCTCTTGAAAAGGGAGATCTATTTCGGAATTTGTGAAGTCGCTTTGTAGCATTTACTTTGAACAACAGTCAATTAATATCCAGGAAAGTTCAGAAAGACGCGTTCAAAGAGAAGATGAATATTCAGTTTTTGTAAGCAAGATGCATATGAGAGTTTTGCTTCCCTGTTCAATAGTCTGTAACTGCTCAGTCGACATTTTCTAATAAATAACTCGGCAGCGAAGGCCTTCTTCCTTTCACCGGTAGACGCAGGTAAATGAAGATACAGGGCTCAAAAACCTTTTTGAAATGTTATGTACCGGCTCAATACCAAATACCGAATACTAGTCCAAAATCGCCCAACTTACTAGCACATTCCTCGAGAGGGCTGAAAAGATAAACTGCTCCCACAGAGGAATGTGTTATTTAGGTCTAGAGGCGAAATGGTCGGAGTTCACCATTGGAAGCTTTCTTGATGCGACGGTGCGCGAACGTTTTCTTCCTAGTCATTCTATGACAGTCACTTCAAACAGAACTTATGTGAGTCCTTCTCCATAAAATTTGTCACCCTCTCTCCAAAGTCATCCCATTTTATCCACTTCACTTGAAATTATAATGCAATTCGTAAGTGAATCTGTGATTTCGTTGAGGGTTTTCAAAGTGTCAAAGCTGGGACTACCCCCACATGGTTTATCTATCCCAACAGGTGATTCATTTTTCCTTTAGCTCTGTAAGAGTACTCAAATAGATTTGAAACGATATTTAGACCGACATGAGATGTCATTTCATTCGCTTTTAAATGACCCACCGTCTATCCAAGTACGCAGATTTTCGGGAAATACGCTGCTTGGTTTGTCGATTTATTAAAGCCCATATTGTAAACTGCTCACTTTTCTCATACGGCACACAGAACTTACCCCCATGAAGAGATTCGCCACAAGTTTCTACCCAAGCGTTGAAGCTTTCTTGAGTAAATAGTGTGTTTGGTGGAATACTCGTGCGTTCTGTGTCCCGGCGGCGACGTCCAGGAACAGGTCGAAGAACAATCTTTTTTGGTTCGGGTGATATCGCTTCCAAGCTTTCTTCTGCGATTGAATTCGACTGGTGATAGGTAAAAGAGCGTTCTTTTGGGGTGCCAGCACCAAGAATGTGCTTTTCCACTAACAGTTGCTTGAAGTTTGAGTACAACAGGGAATAGGCGGTGGCTGCATCCTTCAAACACGCGGTGTTCTCTACATCCTCAGTACTACGCTCTAGTACGGCACATAGACAATCGTTGGCATCGCATAATTCTCTGTTCACTTCTCTGTAAATCACAGCAAAAGCAGTTTGGTTTCATTTCGGGGGAACACAGGAATTAGGAATGAAGGAATTTTCCCCATATATCAAATGTACATTCAACCCTTCTGCTTGCTGAGGCCAAAACTCTTACAGTTAATTCCTGGTTCCGAGAGGGACAGTATTTAACTACTGATATGAGAAGATTTCGCGAATTGGCAATAGAAAATGGACATACGAAATATCTATACGTTTGAAAATTTCAAGTTAGCAGACACGCAACTGTTTCGATGAGCGAGTGATCGCGAAATACATGTGGATCGAAGACTCTAGAAGAACAACGCCACAAACCAAATAAAAGTGAACAGAAAACTCTAATGAACGATGAAAATAACCTTTTTTATAAAGAAAGCCTGTAACTCTCAAATACCATTGTGAATTAAACATGAAGCTGAGGAGATTTGTCAGTCAACAACAATTGATGTGTTTCAAAATACAGTTGAGGCGTAAAAGGGGGTCCGAAATTTAGCCCCGCAAAGTCAGATCGGCACTTCCGGCTTTCATTCAGCTTTTACCACCCCTTTTGCGTAAGTTAACCTATAATGTGTAGAGCAACTAAAAGTAGATTGTTTCGAAATTAGTGTAATTTGCATTCAGATTAATCTCGTTCCAACAATTCTCATGAATCTCCACAAAAGGTAGAAGCACTGAACTCGAGCCACGTACTCATCAGCGGTGCATATACTCGGCTTTGCCGGGGTTTAAATTCCGCAATCTGACATGCTAGGGGAGTGTGTTACCACTACTACACGAGCACATTCTGGACGCATCTGAATTTTTACGTCTGAGTGGGCGAACTTGTTCACTCTTGAGTGATGTGGTCGGTTTGCCCGACGACTCGAACGGTTACCTCGTACATGTCCTGAATATGTTGGTCAATTTTACTGCCTCGTCAATACTTCGCAGTCAGGTCGCCGCACGGAGACTTGAGATCTATTGGACAATTTTTGATTTTTGGAACGTGGTTGAGGTATTCCAGGACATGTTCATTCCAGGACATCAGGACAGGAGGAAGATCGTCTGAACGAGAGTGGTGTGAACGTGAACAAGAAAATTAGACGAAGTGTGTGACCTTCAGTGTAGAAGCTGACACTTAATAGGACTTCCTTATTCGGTCTATTAGGAAGGCCAGATTTCTGAAAGCCCGAAATCTACTGAGGCTCTCTGCTCCACTGGATGTTGACCAGACAGACAACGCTCCCTCAATATGAGCGCTTCACAGCCTTGTACCAAATCCAGACCGCGTGCGTCAGCATTGGACCGAGTTAGAGAGTGCCCCTCCAATAACTAGCTTGGGACCGTTGTATTTTCGCACTCGCACGCACTCACGCCTTCGCACTTTCTCATTCGGAATGTAGCTGTTGTGTACCCCTCTGTGAGTCTTTTTTTTCCAGCATCGGGCACTGAAGCGGGTCAGCAGTCAGATAGAACAGATTGGCGAATCAGCAGATATAATACGGTCAAAATAGGACCTCTAAATTCCAAAAGGATATCACCCAGAGTTAAGTTCCCAGAGCGCGAGTTCGGTCTGTCAGCTAAACTTATAATTGACTTGGATTAAGGGTGGGGAATACCCCGATGACGTGTGTATGATGGAGCAGGAAACGCTACAATAAGTTCAGCCTAAACTGAGTGATGAGCCTACTTAATTACACACGGATTTCTTAAGTATTCGTGACCAAAAGATCCGGTCCTGACCACACTTTCCTTCATCATTGGATATCACTTTCTTCCAGTCGAGATTCCATAATATGCAACTTTATTGTGCCTTGATTCTGTGCTCCATTTTCAGCCAAAGCAACTTTCTCATGATGGTCTGTGTCAAAACCCACTGGACATGCCTGGAATTTAGAAGACAAATTATGGACCTCTTTTGTGCATGGGGTACTTGTTATTTTGTGAGGTTTGCACTTCGTCAAAATCCTGCCGTACAAAAACAGATGCAGTTCAACAGCTTTCTGGAAAACTTGACCCGAGCTACTGATCAGAAAACTGTCTATCCAACTTTCTGATCTATCCATATTCTGTACGATGAATAGTCTCCCAGTTGGACATTTTTGTAGACGAAGTCATTTTTCCGTCATTCAAATGAACCTAATGCTTACTGTGCATTTCAGGAAGTACTACTGTACCAGTGTATCGTTGTTTTAATCTGTGGTCATCACACATGTGAAATTCAGTCCAGGCACATTTACGGACTAGATCGATTAAGGAGGCCCAGTGGTCAATTGCTCTCACTTGCACACAAAGTGGTACCTTGTGAGGACTGATTTCTCCAGGCTGGAAATCAAAGGAAACCGGATACGAATAGTGAGAAAAGCTTCTCCAGAAACAATCTAAACGCACAACCACACTCTGTCATCACTTCAGATGTCATCCATTGTCCACGAAAGCAAACGGCCACCGTTCGTGCGCCTGTTAGACAAACTGTGGTGTGCTGATCAGTAATCAATAATATACCATGGCAACCGCCGCATGGTAAACATGCGTGGTTGTAAAATGCGGGCTAGTCCGAGTGAATTTTTTGCGCGCTGTCAACTGCTTATATGGGTAAGGTTTATCGTGATCAATGAGAAAGATCATAGGATATTCAGCGAATCCGGAAGAAAATCGTAGGAGTAATGCACTGAATGCAGCCAGTAACTGACTTGCCAGTGTTTCATTGCTATGTCTTATGAGCGAGATGGCTCAAGTGGTTAGAGCGCGAATTTACTGATGGGAAGGTCCGTGTTTCGAACCCGACCTCTGCCTATCGACTCCCCCTGTCTAGGCTTAGACAACCTGGCAGTATCCCAGCCCTCATGCATTCTGCGGGTAGCATGGCAGCTAAGCACCGAAAGGGCGTTACAGCTGAAGGATGATGTCTTACATCTAATATACATAGACAAACAAGACAGGATCACTTTGCTCCGTTGAAGATGATCTATTGCGCATCTGACAGCCTGAGGATTATTTCTTGATCCTTCATGCGGTAGATTCTGATAAAAATGTTTCTCGGTGTCAGTCCTTGGCCCTGGCCGAAGATTTTATTGTCGGAGTCTTTCAGCACAAAAAAATTTTTCCGGAAGTTTGTTCTCAAATATGTACGTCCTGGGGAGGGAAGGAAAGAACTACCCCATATACTTACAGGATTTCCGCATGTTTCCTACTCTGTTTAGGTGCTGGTAAACAGCAGAATCTCATGAACTTGTTTCCGACTGCTTAGGAGCACTACCGATAGTGCCTGGTTGCTACAATCGCTCTAATTAGTCAGCGAGCTACTTAAAGCCCTATCTCGTTTGATTTTTTGGGTTGCACTTTACTAGAACAATATCATAGCTAATTTCGGACGTGATATTTGTTCAGGACAGTTGTTTTCAGGACAGAGTCTCTGATTATCATATTCGAATTGGGACTAGACAGTTCGAGTAAAACAAAATTAGCCAAGTCACTGACAGTATGAATTTTGCTATCATATGAATGGAAAGATAGAACTGCAGTCAAATTTTGGACAGCATGTAGTCTCGTACTTCCTTTAAATTCCGTCTAGACATACCAGCTGTCTAAATGGCATGATATGCTCAGTCCCGGCTTCCTGATTTTTTAATTCTATAGACTTTTAACTAAGTGAGAAATAATATTTCAACCTTTGCTAATGACAAGTACAGCGGTAAAGTGAGGTATAAGGGTGCCAATAATTCGGATTGAATGTGATGATGAAAATCGTATCCCAATCAGCTCAATTTCTATTAGTTTTCAGTATGAACCCAAGTTATTTGAAAATAATTCATATGTGTCCACCCCAGTATGCATGGCGCTCCAGAGCTATTCTCAACATAGTACGTTTCACACTACTTAACATGTGACTGGAGGATAGGGAAGCACCGAACTAGTGTCATACTGAACGCTGCGCTTGCTGAGCAGCTTTTTTTTAATGGAAGAATGCTTCAATGCTAACTGTGGCCCAATATACAATCCAAATTCCAGAGGCCAACTCTGAACAACGTGCTATTCCTTCCTTCTGATCTATGCTGAAGGCCTTCGCTCAGGTGAATCCCTAAGATTTTCACTTGAGCAACCCTACATAGGATTCATCTAGCTATCTACATCTACCTATCTGAATGAAAGCAATATTCGTCATTTGAATTAGCGCTGGTTTTGACGCTTGATGAAACGGCTTTTGACCGGGACATATTATGTGTACCTGAACGATAGTTCATACAGGCGTATGAGGTGCGTATCAGAAGTTGCTTGAAACGCGCTCTAAACAGGAGATTCGGCTTCATTGCTACAGGAGGCTGACATCTGCGCCACTAATTTTAGCAACTGAATCTCTAGAGAGAGCTCATCTTTAGCACGAATTTCGCGAGCTCTCTCAACAAATGCTTTTCTTGCAACTTCTTGCTGAATAATAACGTGATGAAAGTTACATTCTGACCGTGTTTGACTTTCATCTTCTTAGATGCTTGCCGAAAATCTGTGTTGCAGTAGAGATGGCGTCAATTTACGCGATATACGACAACATGCACACAAGAACTGATTTGAACCAGAAAAAGCTCCAAGTTGGCTAGACGCATGAAAATTTTAAAAACATGTAAAGCCTAGCTACTCGAGAATATAACACGCAGAGACTCGTAACCAGTCAGTAACTATCCTGGAACGATGCACCAATCAGTAATTTTGTGTGGATGATATCCGGTCTTTGATTCTGAAGTTGATGCGCAATGAACAATTACCCTATAAAAATATTACATTCATCGAAATAACTTACTGAAGCAGAGTAAGTTGGCTACTCAGATTTGAGTTTTCTTTTACGACATCCACATAGGTAGCAATATGGCTGGAGCACAAGAGAAAATGATACGGTTACGTACGTAAATATGTGGTTTTCCTACTTCAGAGAAGGCAAACTTCCATTGCAACTGATTGACTCTGATTGCCGTTAGGGTCAAATCAATGATGATCGTTTGTAAGAAACTGCGACACCCACGGTTAACAATCGTCAACGCAGAGTAGATTTACTCAATGGTACCGATTCATTTTGCCGGATAAGTAGCACATGTCGGAAGTGGGTACTCAGAAATTTTTCTGTTTATTTAAAAGGGTTAAACTCATGGGAATCGTTCCACCACGGAAGTAGAAAAACAGCGGTCGCTCGATATCGTTCACGTTTGAGAATACCAGCGCTATCTAGTAAAATTTATACTTCGGATTAGAGATACAGGTTTGATGAAAAAAATTGACCAGCAACTCTCTTGGAAGCGAAGCCCGTGACACTTTTTCACGCACACCGGTAACCTACGTCATCATCATCATCATCATCATCATTATCATCATCGTCATCATCACCATCTTCATAATCTCATCATCATCATTGTTACCAGCTGTAAGAACCGCGTAGTTACCATACAGTGGTTGTAGATGCTACAATTCCATCCACCGGTGAGTTGGGAAGGTGGGTAGATAGCTGCGCACTGGGAGGCGGGAACCGATGAATCGGTGCGTAAATACAGTACTGTCAGTGGACTGCTAAATAGAATAATTGGGGAGGGAGCTGTGTCGAAGGTAATGGCTTGGATGCACGAGCGCCACTGAGAGTGCGACTGGGTCATGTCTGATAATGTCTCTAACCATTGGTCTGCCCCGTCTCGGGATCCCCATCCAGGAAGACGTCAATGAGGAAGTCGGTCAACCGGCATACGCAGCACGTGGCCAGACCAGCGCAACCTATGCAGCGTGATCAGTTCATCTATCGAGAGTGGGTTATTTCTTCCGAATACCATTCGACTTACCTCAGCATTGCTTATCCGGTTTTCCCACCAGACCCGGGCAATGCTCTGAAGACATCGATGGTTAAACACTGAGTCTTTTGACATCCTCAGCGCGCAGCGGCCGGGTTTCTGATCCATATAGTAATATGGAGCGCACCGCAGCATTGTAAACTCGACCCTTGACAGAGAAGCTGATGTCACGCTTACGCCACAGATGACGTAGGTTCGCAAAAGATACTCTGGCCTTCCCAATCCGGATGGAAATGTCATCTTTCGCGAGACCACCGGGACTGATACAGCTGCCCAGGTAAACAAATTTGTCTACTACCTCAACCGGTTCATTCGCATGCGTGGGGCTAGGGTCCTAGCCCACTTCGTCTTGCAGAAGCACGTGACATTTCGCAGATCTGAAGCGCATGCTAAACCGTGACGCAGAATTATTTAGATTATTTAATATTGTTTGAATTACCACGGGATCAGATCCAAGAAAAGCGATGTCGTCTGGGTACTCGATATCTGTGAGCAGACGTCCGTCCCGCACTTCGACCTCACAGTCATTGTTGGCTGATAGTGAGTCTTCCATAATCGTATCACTGACGAAGTTGAAGAGGAAAGGTGAAAGAAGCCAGTCTTGCCTGACACCATTTGATGTGGAGAACTTAGGTGAGGGCTTCCTGTAGACTTTCCCATGGCCGCAGGATTGACGTGCAGCGCTTTTATGAGGGACATTAGTCAAGAAATATACTTTTGGTAGAGTAAGATGCCATTTCCGAGTATTTGGTGGAAGGATGCATTCCTGGTAAGATGAAGTATGCACAGTTATGATTCTGATTAAACAAACTGAGTGGCTTACCATCCCTTCCACACGCTAAAGGCTTCTTTCTCTGCTATTTATAGTGATACACCGTATTCATTTGGGGTTGTTCGGGAGCTCATGCAATTACCTATCAATATTTTGCATTCCTCCTGTTATTTGGGCAGCATATTTCTGGCCAACAGTCTACTAGGATATTTGTCAACACGTGAGTAAATAACTCTATGTTTGCGCAAACCGTTCACACATTGAGTTTCTCAGGGCTGTTTTGTGCCACACCTTCCAAAATTCAGTAACTTCTACCGTATGTAGTCCCTACTAAAGAATAACTGAGCTGAAAATCGTGAATGACCTAATCGTTGTTCTTGAAGAGGATGCGTCGCATTTGAGAGGGAGTTTATCACGTTTCATCCAAAGTTGTTCAAGCGAAGACTGTGGTTTTTGCTGGGTGATATTCTATCGACCGGTTCACCCATGGAACGGAGTCACCCAGACAAACCAAATGAGACTGTTTATTAAAGTTTATGAATCGCGTTAGTATCGCGTGAACAGCAAAGATTTTCCTAGTTTGATTTGCAGAAAACGCAGATTGTCTAGTTCAAATTTTAGACATCAGGGCTGAAGGTGATTTTGTCTTCATCTAACAGTACAACACCAAAATCAGTTTTCACTTGAATTACGGACAACTATACACTTCGATTTCGACTAACTTTGATTAAAACTGCTTCTCTGTACACTCTACGAGTTTCTTTGCAATCCACTACTCAAATGATGTGAAACAGTATTGATATTGGAAGAGCTTTGTACAACATTTAGGCGGTCGAAATGGGGTTGTGTAAACTTCATAAGATGATTCGGCTTAAACATGCATTTCAGAATTGCTTTGGACTGCACTTCTAACCAGCTACGCATATATTGATATTGGAAGAGCTTTGTACAACAATTAGGCGGTCGAAATGAGGTTGTGTAAACTTCATAAGATGATTCTGCTTAAACATGCATTTCAGAATTGTTTTTGGACTGCACTTCTAACCAGCTACGCATAGACTGATGATACTTGGCTAGATAGTCGCAACAGTTGGCTGTTTTCGTCTTGGTTTGATGTATCCGTCAGTTCTTCCTCCCAGGTGCCGTCACCACTACACACAACGTGACACCGTTCACTCGGCTGATCCCACGGTAGACATTGGCTGTCTTTAGTCAGGGGCAGCATTTGGCCATTGACTCCAAGGCCTGTGGATTCAACACGACAACGTAAGTGTTTCTAAAGCGTCTAAAACAGTGTGCCAGTAGGATGGAAACGGCAGCTTGTTGCGACTTGAATGATTCAGTTCGAAACATTCTTTTGTCGGCCACAAGAACCTCGGTCATTCCGAAGAAAGTTGTCAACAAGCTGTTTTCGAGTGTTCTATAGATCATCTTTACAAGTACCCTGGAGTACAAAATATATAAAATGAGACATAAATACAACTTTTCTCCTGTAGACTAGAAAATCGGATAGGTGAAACTGATTTTGTGGACCCCAGTTTTATCAGGTTGTTCAGGGATGTCTTGGCTGGTTTACACCCAAATGATGGGTCGACGACGCATTTTAGATGTCCTACGTATAAGTTATGCAATAGTTGACATGACTGTTCCGTAATACGTGCTTCAGCAGTTATCACTCGATGAAATATTTATCTGCTAGTAGTAACCTGGAGGACTAACTGCATTTTACTGAGTGATCGCGAAGGTTCTTTCATCCTTAAAACAGGATTAACTTTTGTCCGTGGAGCTTTGCATGCATTTTGGAGATCTCGCACTGCTCAGTATCTAGAACCACGAGATGTGATACAGTTCACGGAAAAATGAATCGCGCGTCGAGGGATATCTTTCTCTCCGGTCTTTTATCGTTTGGACGTGTTGGTCGGACGCGTTTGGTCCTCAGGATTTCGCTTGACTGGATGGGCTATTTCAGTCTAGATTTGTTTACGTGAGTCAATGATTTCGGCTTCGACCGCTTCAAGGGCAGTTCAAAGAAGCTTGACAAAGTGGTGAGGTTAGGAGGTTTAGAAAACATCGTTTTTTTGGAAGGCAAACAGATTTTGACCTCTTGAGATCTTCCCAACAGACCGTGACAAGACACCAAAGTGAAGTATTCACTTCAGGCAATAGTTGAACCACAGTTATCTCCAAGCTTACTCTGTAGGCGCATACGATCACGTCCAAACCCAGAAGCTTATCATACGGTTACAGATACTGTTTAGCTTCAGGCTTAGCATGTAATACGCAGTGTTGCTCAGCGTCCAAATGCAAAAAGATTTTAGTGTTTGATAATCATATTTGTTAACAAGGTATTAAAATCTCACCTTTCCAACTCTCGGGACTTCTCAATGAAAGATTGCTTCAAAGTGGTTAGTTCCGTTCTTGTCTGGACAAGTTCGGCACGTGTGGCTGTTAGCATATCCTCGAGGCTGGTGCGTTCCAAGCGAAGTTGTGCGATTTCAGCCTGGAGGGCGTTCAGTCGGTCATCCATCTGGACTGATTTCTTTGACCCGGCATGTTCCATCGTCAGGTTTTGCTGGTGTGCAAAAGAAACACTTTTGAGAATTCACTTGGCTGTTACAACTAACCAACTCATTGGTCTATCCGCCCCCACAATGAATATAGTTAACCGAAATACGGAATATTTTATCAGAGGAATGGTTCTTCGAAACTGCTTGTGCATTGATCCCAAGGACCATAACAACACATCCCAAAGATGTACAGTTACGATAGCCCTCCTGTTTGGTGTTTGTTTAGACCATTCAAGTGACAAATACAGTAATCCTTTTTCACAAAGACATTTTTGGTTTATGCTACTGTCATTCTGACTCATCTTCTTTGGAAAATAACGTTAATTCTCTGACATTGTTTCATTTATTTTGACGTTTGCGCTGGATGTGGCTATGTTACTTATTCGTCGTTTAACCTGAAAAGGATGAACAGGTTTCAACCAGGGTAATCCTATCGGATCAGTGACACTGACTTTCGAACCTGTGGGTAGTAATCCCGCTGCAGTTCAAAGCGTCACATTTTCTATCTTTTCGCTTAACTTTGGAACGCTAAGTTTCTGTTTCTAGAATACAAACCATGGGGATATTATGTGATCTCCTTTTTTTTAACTGAAAACCTCTGCGACCATCAGTAAGCGAACAATTTCAATGGAGGAATAGGCAATAAAGAAAATATCTACATGACCTGTCTTCTTACCTCTTCAACTTGTCTTAGACGTTCTAATAGTTGCTCTACTTGAGCCGACTTGGCTTCCAGTTGTCCACGAAATTCCGTTAAAGCCAGTTCACGCTCACGAGCGCGAGCTGCCTGCTCGGCCAACTGGATTTGTTGATCCAATTCCTCGGATAAGCGCAGTATATCTGCACTGTGTTGGGTCCTCTCACTGTATAAGCATGTCAAGACAGAAGACAATGCGACAAGACGGGTACTGCTCAATATTTCATACGGTTTCACTGAATACTGAGGTTGCTAAACTGTCTTCTGTGTGAATTAATCATCACCAAGACTCACATAAAAGAAACTGATCAATGAGGAGAAAACAAAGCATTCCTTATTTCTGAAACAAATACCAGTCACAGAAGGGGCTTAGCTGTCGTTTTCGAAGTGGATTTTCTTGAAGGAGACCACTTTGCTGCATACAGAACACGTGACATATCCTTGCTTAGAATCCACGAATTTCTAGCAGGATAGTATGAATTTCCCCTGTCCAAAGTAACGTGACGGGCAGTTTGCATACTTTTGACTTATTTACCAAATACACATGCGTGTTTGCTATGTTTGGGAAGCCTGGTTTAAGTGGCCTGCCTATTTTCAGTGCGCGAACCGACTGTACGGTGTGCTATGCGCGAACACGGTTGAATTACTTGAATATTAGAGAGTGAGTGTAACTCGCATTGACGTACCTCCGTCAGACCTCCCCATTCTCCAACAATGTGCACTTGTAAGCAAGATGTAAGAATCGGTAATGATTCTCTGGGAATATAGCAAATATTCTTGCTCTGGATCAAATGACACTGTTAATTCTGTTATGACTCCAGCAGTTATGAATGCTTTGTTGTTCTCCCATGTGGTTCCAGGTGTGAACTAGGCGATTATCTAGGTTAGGTCTGCTGACTCGTTGACTGTGTACAGCAAGTGTATCCAACGGTTTACCATTTTTATGCTTTATACGAGAGTGAACGGGAATAATTTCGCCAACATACGTTAGATTCGAATCTGAGCTGATACGCTGATGATCCTCAACGACTTAGTCCTCATCAGCTTGTAGTCCGACCAGGTAAGGCACAGACCAACTTCTTCGTTGTCTTACCAGGTGATTTCGTGTTCAGATAAAAGTTCACTTGAAAATGTTTTTGAAGAGTGTGCCCAAAATTACCCACCAAGGTTCTAGATCGAACCAGTTTTGACCCCGGTGCATTTACTGTTTCCCCCAATGCCAGTGTGAACATGAGTGATCTCCTGTTACCAATGGAGTTGAAGATCTACATCCCACAAGTAAGCAGACAAAGATCTGATTTTGGCTCAACTGTGCACTTTGCGACATCCAGCCACAGAGCCCGTCATCAACTCGATCAATGAAGTCGCCAAGTTGAATGTCTTAGCAAAGAATTTGCATCGAAACCAAAACGCTATCTAGCAGACAATGTATTTGCTGTTGAGTCATAGACTCTTCTGCTTTATGCCAGTTGTAACGTTTGATGGCACGCGCAGAATGTTTGCTGCGTTGCGGAGCAGCGAAACTAAGTGGAAACTTAGTAGGAACTAGTTAATTCTCGGACACTAGGAGAAACCAAGTTATCCCGCTATTTTAAGTGGTAGACTGGTCTTTAAGGCAGGATGATCTCTTCCGGAAGGGGGAGCTAACCGGTTCACAGGAGTAACTTGAAGCAGTCAATAATGGGGTCCTGCCGGACAGATGTGTGTTCAGGATAGATATCACGAACTACCAGCGCTTCCTTCTAGTTTTACGGAAAAAAACTCTGATCGCTTAGATTTGATTATTACAATAAAGCTGATTAGTTTTTAAACTGATTGGTTTGAAGAACTTTTGTATCTCCGCCGGGACCATGTGAACAGCCCGACTACAGATGGTCCCTAAATTTCAAAAGAATATTCATGGATAAGATAAATAGTGACGAACAAACAGTTATTGATGTTAGACCACCACAGATTCTGATGATATGTCTTGATAAAGCGCCAGAACAGACCTACTGAGTACACGAACATTTGGCAACCTTCCACGTGAGTAGAACGTGACAGTAGCTTCTGAGGAATGATATATCTTGATAATGATTCCAATTCATGATTTCAAGTAATCGCATAGAAATAACAAATGTTAGTTTTCTCACTCGAACGAAAATTTTATAGAATCAGGAGAAACAGTGGAGCATGAGATGATCGCATTACTCTCTACAAACTTTCTCACGTCATGCAGTTGCAATGAAGAACCATGTAAAAGCTACAGACATCGTAGGATACAGAATTTGACGCGTATACTCAAACTACTGCGTCCACATCAGTTCCGTGCATAAAGTCACCGCCTATGTATTTCGTTTCAATAAGAGAAGAGACGTTGGTGTGAACGGGGGATCCCGACCTTCACGGTAAGTTAAGGGTAGACTGTCTTGAACAAACGACTTTGTTAAGAGTCCATAACAAGCAGTGTTACTCAGTCTAACATAACCTGTTGGAAAGGCGGAAAATGCACCGCGATATTTTTGTGGCTTTGATATGATTCATCAACATGATCACTGCATTCCGCATTCCTCGCAAAATCGCTGTTAAATATAAAACATTATTGTATTGGCCGGCTCTTGGTACAGAGTGGAACCTCACTAAGAACTTGTGGTTGCTGATGACAAGAGAAATTCATGAGTTCAACCACATATTCTTACGATCGAGTGGTTGATGGCTTGATCCGGAAGCAATGATAGGTGTGTGTTTAATTGACAAACGTTTGGATGTTCTGTTTTCAAGCCAAGAATAATCTTTACTTTATGTAAATTAGATTTTCCATATTTGTGTTTATTATCAGCACAGCACGTCGTACGATACTTCGATGTCTGCACGCACCTAAGCATAAGAATATTTAAAAGCCATCTGGTTTTTGATTGGCTAGATGTAGGTTCGATGATCCCAAAGCTTCAAAGCTTCGAGCACGTTGGCTGACTCAGTAAACTAGTGGGTGCGACCCTCTTACCTTCAAATAATCTATCAGCACCAATCGGGGTGTTCCTCAATTCCTCAGGCTTTTATCTGCCATTCTTGAGAAAGTGCACTGATTTATCAAAGACTGTAAATTTTACTTGGGGACTGTTAACTCTTTGGGTCGACTCGATTTATCTGTTCACTTTTACACACCGGGTCACTGGTTGCATTTGTCCTCAACTTCCGCCCAGGAAGGTTCTTAGAATTTCAAGGGAGGACAAAAGTCACAGATTACTGGACTCCGGCTTCTGCAATCTTGATTGCGAGTCAGTTTCACCTTGTGTCTGAGTTACTTAACACTCGTACTTAACACACGTTTGTTTTATTAAAGCTGTTATTAGTTTCCTCATCACTCCTGGATCCTTGTTGGACCCGCATCTCAAATTTACATGATTTCATTCAGATAGCGTAAATAATTTACGATTTTTTTTCGGGGAAAAGAACACAGCCAAGAGGATAAGGCCCAACTTCTATGATCCACTTACCATTCAATCTGCTGCTCCAGGCGACATTGTGCTTGCTTCGCCCGGTGTAACGATTTCACAATATCGATCAATACTGATTCGTACATGCGTGACAAGCCGGGATTTTCTGAACACAGAAGCCGGTACAACTCGTAAATGTGATCCTGGCTGAAATGATAACAAAGCAAAGTTTGAGCCATCGTTAGAGCGGTTGATTACGAAACCTCGGAAACTTAGGATAGGTTGAAAATCAGATTTGACCATGAGAGGTTTTCAGCGGAAATACATTGGACAACGCAATCAATGTCTCCACATGAAGGTAGGTCACACGTTTGGACTAATTCCCGATTGATTATATTTCTTGGCCCTTCTGCTAAGTGTTTTTCCACTCTTGACGCGCTAAGCGATGTGTACTTTTAAATGACGGTCCCTGTGATACACCAAAATGTGCCTTAACCCGTTCTTCCACCACAGGCTCTGAGCATTCGTTCGAAAATGAGGGAGTAATTTATCCTTGGTATAACTCTAAAACGTGAGTTGGAGGCAAAACTCGGACTTTGGGTCTCTCAAGGTCCTATGCAATTTCACGATACAAAACACCATGATCTTACAGCTGAGGACCGTGGCAGTGTGCTGAGACAGCGTGTTCAGAGATAAAACTGAACTTCTCTAATGGCTTCTACGGGGCACCAGAAATCATGAGTAATATACCTATCCCTGGCTGTTGATACCCGATTTATTCACAATAGGCTGACCTATGAGATGTTGGGGTGAACGATGGCTAGTGCAGTTGCTATAAGAGATACTGATATAAATTAGACGAAGCCGGCTCACCTTGTGAATAAGAATGGTGCTGAACTAATCTCGGTTTACAGTTGAGCATGTGCTGGGGACCCAAACATTCTGGTTCAAAAAGGGTGCCTCTAACAGAATCCTCTTGCTTCCTTGGTAGTACACTTTGCTTAGACCTGAGAAGTGCAGTGAAAGCAACGGACAAACTCATGGTCGTGGTCTAAGCTGGTATTCCAGAAGAAGTGACAGGCACTGGTCTACCCTCACCACTGATAACTGATTGCAGTGTAGTTCATTTAGACTCGCGGAAGTTTGGCTGGTGGACATAACCTTGTTAAGCGACCTGCGTTATTCCTGGATTCGTTACTGCAAAGGAGCAGTCTATGATCGGCACACACTCAAAGCAGGCAATCTCCGTTGTCCATTTTTCTCGTATCCAAACAAAGACAACCAACCAGTTTGTCCGCAACAGCACTTGGTCTATCTATCTGAGCATCACCTGTAACCTCTGCTTGTTGTTAGAGCACCTAGAGCGTCATAGAAAGCGCCTTTGGCAGATCCAGAGCTACAATCCTCAGGGAGATATAAATAGCTCATTCTCGAGGTTTTTCACAGACGCTGCGAAACGAATTGCACAGAGACAACAATCAGCACCAAGGCAACCAAGCAGAAACCCTTCGGTTCAACCTCTCGATACAATATGGAACCCAGCATATCCAGCTTCAGTTGCCTCCACATCATCAGAGGTGCTCACTGGGCACCTGGAACAGAGTGAACAGGCAGTCAGTTCGGTTTCACCTTTTGTGTCCTGTCTCCTTGTATCCGACAGATAACATACGTCAATTGAGGGAAGTCCAGGGTACGAATGTGTACCGATTGCTGTCCCGTTACCCGGTCTCCGAATATCTAGTGTTTGCCTTTAAAGTGAACAAAGTTTTCGCTGGCAGGTTACCCTAACCTTTTAGTTTGCAAAAGACTCAACTTATTAATAGCCATACTATGGTTGGTCCATATGGTTTATACTACAGTCGAATGCACAACTGGAACTCCACCGATTCGAGCCCTTTGAAGCCACACAGACGCTCGTATGGTCTGATTAGCGTTCCTAGCTACTTTCACTTGAACTTTATAATCTACAGGCGTTTACAATTAGAAGACATGTGATAGTTCTACCACAAACGCCCAACTCTGTGTTCCCTTTGATTGTCGTGACAAACCTTTCAGCTGATCCTATGATCTATGGTACAACTAACTTCATCCACCACTGTTGCTGAATATGTTATAACTCCTAAATTTGATTTTAGGTATGTTCTCATTGATTTGGCTGATCCCTTCCTTCCTGTTTTTAAGTTAACCTGGCAGCTTGACCAAAATTTAACTTATGCTCAGGTGCTAAAATATTTGCCAGCACCTTCAACGAAACTGAGGGCGTGACATTTTGGAAACGCTCGCATGCAGTTCTACTGAAGGCGGCTCACCAGATCACCTCAGTGAACGACACCCTCTGTTGGGAGGTGGCCATTTTACCAACCGTGTGTCAGTCCGTTTTTTCTGACTTCACCGGTGAAGTTGCTTTGCCATTATGAAGCCATCCTCTGGTACACATGGGTCGGAGCAGTAACAAAATAATCTCCAAAGGAGATTTCATCCCGTCAGTGAAACCAATCTATGTCCAAAGGTTAAGTGTTTAACCAGTGAGCAGAAGGTCATGGATTCGTAGTATATGAGCTAATGATGATGATTCCCCACAAGGTGAAACAGCTGTAGAGTGCTTATTGACTTGCAAAATAGATTGCCTTTACAGACAACAGAAAATCTATATTGAGAAATGCAAAATATCCTCAGGTGACCATTAAACTAATCTCCGCACTGTGAAAAAACGGCAGTAACGTGCACTTGAGGAATCTGTGTTTGGATTAAGATCAGCTCATTGGGGAGGTATTGGATGTATCAATAGTAGCAAGTTGCCACGTCCAGTTGCACGATGCATTCCCAACAAGCTCCTTTGCTTTCGTTCGCGTGAGCTTCGCTCTTCACCCCGTAAAACCGCTGTATGACAGCTCACACAAACCAACAGTCAAAGGAATAGATTCTGCTTCATTGATCGTGGTGGCAACTTAGAATGACCATCTGAGTGTTGCCTATGTCGAGAAATCCAACTCCGGGAAACAAACCCGTAGTGTTTGCACGAATGCACTGTCAGCATTCCTCGCCGGTTATGCCCATTGACAGCAACGGTTTTTCAAATAAGTGTTCCTCAGTTTACCTACTTTGCATAAGAAAGTTCGCTGGAATTTATATAACTCCTACTGTCCACATACGGCGTTGCTCCTAGGAGATGGCCACCTAACTGAAGGAGTTAACTGGTTTCAGAGAAGTCTTTCGTCAGATCAGATAAGGTTTCAGAGAAGTCTTTCGTCAGATAAAAAACTGATTATATATATATATATATATACGTACATAATCGTGCTAGAATGAAGAGATATCTTTGGTAGGTTAGTATCTTGCAAGTGAGTCCGCGGTTTATCTTAACACCTGCAGTCGCATCCAGTATAGGATTGCGTACAAGTGTTCCTGCGCTGGATGAGCATTACCGTTAGATTAGAACGGTTTCGTTGCTAAGTTAGTGACATCAACAATGCGTTGTCGGCCACAGTATTGCAGTGCCGATTGTAACCAACGAAGATTTCCGCCGATTAATTGCGCAATAAAGCTTCTCCGTTCGTCCTTGGAAGTCATTTGTGCCCCAACCTGGCAAACAGTATGCACTTCTTCGTTGGATACCCAGGGGAAGTAGCGGCTAGTATTTGTTACGTGTTCTGCCAAAAAACGTCTATCATTTCAAGAAATACACTCATTTGCAAATCAATTTGGTTTTCATGACAGGCTCAACTGAATCTCTCGTTTATGATATTCTACAATTGAATGTGCTGCACACAGGCCGCCTCATTTCAGTTTTACTATATACCATACGTGGATTCGTATGCCTAATTCTATGTGAAGAGTTGCTCAATAGGGAGAGCTTCTGTGGTGACTTATTTATCCTAAAGTTCAACAGGGCCACCCACAACACACATAGGACGCAACCTAATCATACCCATGGCGACTACTCAGTTAGGTCTAGACAGCGATATTCACAGCAAGTCACCTATAGCAATGTTGTAGGTTTAACGCTTCGGAATACCTAGGGTAAAAGGGTGATAATGTTCTGACATAGGCAAAAAACCGTAGCAGTTGAACCCACTGAAGTCCGCGTCGGACAGACTCGAAGCTTCATTACCATTAAGACAAACCCAGGATGTAACCATATAGCTTTCCTTAGCTTGATTACGACCACACCGTGACGATCACTGGAAGACACTTTTAATCACAATCACGATCTTATCAGACCGAATTGCTTAGTATGTCAAGGCAATTTCGATGATTTTGGTCTATACGGCGATCGCCACGGAAAGCTACTTCTAGAACCGCCATAGGTTTAGCCCTTTAGTAACCTCATTAAGCCAGGTCAGGTTAGGCAGTCTTATTTTATCCACCTATGTTTTAGCTGATGGATCACTGTGCTTACTGGAACCGATTAACTCGGTACGACTAAGACGAACATAACTGCAGTCCTTGCAGTTTCAGTTCGGCCTCACAATACAACAAATTCAGTGATACCCTTTCTTCCTGCATGCTTCAGCTGTCTGGCTCGAATTCGTTAAACTACCGATCTCTAGTTTGTATCGTTCCCTTCAATTATGCTTCTCACTTCACCTGGTTCGCGTCAGAAGCTCTCAGACTCTTGTCCACTCTACCCAGATATAGAAAACTTTGCCTGTCAGGGTTCTACATCTTCCTATTCGTTTGATCACATAGAAGCTGTTTCGGAATCCTTTTCTTGTCTATTCGACATAGTGTCTAAACTACTGTAGACGGCTAAATTTAATCACAGCCTCCATTCAATCACAGCGCGCCTGTTGGAGAACCTCCGGCTCCGAGAATCATTCACTCTAGTGAACACGAAATACCCAATTCGGGCAGTGCATATAAAATCGGTTTAAAAAACAGTGATTTCATCAGTAAATGCTGGAGGTTTCATTGATATCGCCCTCTCGGTCCAGTCTGCCAAAACTCATACTTGGCTGTAAACGATCTCACCTCACGATCGAAGGTCAAGTTGGTAGACAGTGTGATTCTGCGGCAGCAGAATGGTCCATAGTGACCACTGAACAGAGACCGAAGTGATCCTGTGCAAAGAGACACTCCCGTTGTTTCCTAAGGAAGAATTCGGAAATCAATTGATATCGGCCCATTATTTAACACTCTTATCTTCTCCTTACTTCGGATGAGGTTGACAATATTTGAGAAGAACCGTCCGCAACGGGGTTGAATGTGTTCGTGGAGTCTGTGAACACTGCATGGAAAAAGTGGTGATATTCAGGGAACTCTTCTTGAGGCCACTCTGAAGCAAATACCAAGTGCATTGTTCTACGAGGATATGTGCGTCGAATAATTGAGCCGCCTTTCGGTTGAGTGGCACTCGTTCCAAGATCTTGCCTGTGAAGCTGAGTAGACTGATGCTTGTGTAGTTGTCAGGTCAAGTCTTGTTTCCTTTTCAATCATACAGTGGCACGATTAGAGCATCCTTGAATTCTGGGGGAACTACCCCTTGTTTCGAAATCGTATTGGCAAATTAAGGGAAGTATATTCTCCAGAGTTGAACCACGATACACTGAATTCCTTAGCTGCCATGCCATTGTATATTCACCCGCTGTGTCTCTTGAAAATTCGAAGGGAGATCGAGGATCATTTTCATATCCCGTTGCTTCAGTCTGTCTACCCCAGCCGATCCGACGCTCGTAAGATTGTTCAGCAGTTTGATGAAGTATTTTGCCCTGTATCCATTAATTATTCATGTTACATAAATTTCTCCCTTGTCAGCTTCCCGGGAGATTTTGGGTCAGTTTGAAGTTCAGCCTATAGATGTTTTTTAAACAGTTGCGAAATTGTTTGGGCTACCGACCTGCAGCAATTACTTTGATCCGGTTATTTTGGTTTGCTCGCCACTTGCCTCAGGTGTGGTTGAGTTGCCGAGTCAGGTAATTCCAAGAATCACTTGATCTTGCTCTTCAAAGTGGCAAGAAATTTGGCAACCCCTTTGTTTTTCTAGCTATCAGAAATCTTACGAGTGAAAGAGTGATCGCTGCTGCTCCGTGAGTGTCAATCCGTTGCTTTTCAAGGCAAAATCCCATGGCACTGATAGCGAGCTCATGAATATCGCAGAGTCTGTGAAGTCGGCAAACGTTGGCGATTGCAGTCCCGCCAGCATGGAGTCCATGAGTGCCTGGCCGCAGTGACTAATCTTGACCGACATTGAAGTTTTCCATTAGGAAGATATCTTTTTTCGAAACAGAATGAAGTAGGGTATCAACTTCGACCTGGAGCTTTTCTTTTTGGTCTTTGGTACAGCACAGTGTTGGAGTAGATGTAACGACCTTGGTACCATAGTTTTGTCACCTTACCCTCAGTAAAGCAAGATGTAGAATGGAACTAAGGTGTGCGTGTCAGAAATTTTCTTGGTGCCATCGGGCAGACCTCGTTTTTTATCTGTCGACTTGCTGACCCAAAACCATCTTCAAAAAGACTTCCTCAGTCAGTTAGCATGTTTCTTTGACGCCTGTGACTTCAATTAGGTATCTCTTCAGTTCCACCACAACTGAGGCAGCGTAAATTACCGAACGATCAACCTCATCATTCGCTTGATCCACCAATTTTCGGACGTTTCATGAATTTATGGCTGACTGTCCTCTAGGGAAACGCGATTGTGCGTTGCGTTACATGCAAGAGGAAGTGGTATGGGCTGTTTTAACATCCTGCAAATGCCAAGTCTGACGGAGATGGTAAGACTCCATGTGGGAGACTGTGCCCTACTTGGGATCTTTGAGTTTTTATTATTAGGAGTAGTATTAGTATTTTTCCGAACGTGGTTGGCTGATGCCGGTTAGACCACAGTCATACGTTCGGTGGGTTTGTTGCTTTTACCCTTCGCTCTTGAGCGGGAGCCAGAGATTCACGCCTACCAACGAGTAGACATGAATGTTTCAGCCAAGTGTCTGCCCTGAGCGGCCGTTGATTCTTATGTGTCGGCGGAAAGAAATAAACTGACAACCTCACGACAGATATCATCGGTTCCACCATCAAACACTGATACTGGCACTCCACAGCTGCCTGCACGAGGTGCTAGCCCAAGCATCCAGACCATCCCAGCTAACAGCTAGGGTGAACAAAATCATGCACGAATAATCACACTGTTATTCTACTAGACACTTATCCACCCTGGGCTGTCAAGTGCTATCGAAGCAATCCACCTGCTGTAGCACTCTTTCGGTGCTTAACTGCCATACAACCAGAAGGAAGCACGAGGGATGGGATACTGCCAAGCTGCCCAAGCTTAGAGAGGTGAATTCGAGATGCAGGTTCGAACCGCGGACTTTTCGCTTGGTGAATTCGCGCTTTAACCACCGAGCCATCACGCATTGTGAGTACTGACCCATCAAGAAGCATCGAAAGCACACATGCTTGCTTTCTGCTCGTTCTGTGTTCATTTGTATTTCTGTCATCAGTGGATTCTGGTGCTTTCATTTGAGTCACATGTTATGTGTTTGATCGTTGATGAGCTTTACGGTTAAATTTGTACTCAAAAGCACTAAACCGCGCAAGTGCGTGGCTTAAGACCTTTTTCTTTTACCTCGAAACCCATTTTTCTAACTTTTACGACACGTCTTCCCAGGCTAACTTATTTCTAAGTTTAATCATTTTTGAACCAGAGAAATGATATCAGTACATACCAAAGAAAAGGCATCGCACGTAGAAAGAAAAGCAGGATTTCGCATGTGCTTGCCTTCCTCTCTGTTCAATATCACCCGTAGATTTAATCGAAAACACAAATAGCATTTTTTCGTCCTGTGCGTGTTCACAAAGTTTCCGATAGTTTCCTGTCCAAATATAACCTTTACTTATCCCAGCCCAAATCAGAAAAAATCACCTGAGACTACTCAGTAGACGGTGATTACTCCCACTCACTCATTTACGTGGCCCTGTCCATCTAAAACAAAGCGAAGGTGATGGATGAAGTGGCTACACTACGACAGCAGCGTAATTTTTTTGTCTTCTGTATAGTGTCTGTGTGAAGAGACCAAACATATACGCCTAAGTTGCAGTTGCGAAGTTTTGCGGGATAGGTTCATATTCGCAACACCCCCATCTGAACGGTCGTCCCCTGTTCTGACGTAATTATTTCGGGGAGTCCACACCAAAGGGAAGCACTCTGGACTCGAGTTTCGTTCTTATTAGAGCTCATCGGCAGTGCATATCCAATGGCCATGAGGGGATCTGAGTCCCGGACATTTGACATGCGAGGCTAGCGTGTCACCACTACTCCACCAACACACGTCGGATGCATCTGAATTTTCACGTATGAACAGGCGAAGGTGTTCACACTCTATGCATCGAGTTCAAATCCCGGCAAGGCCTTTGAACACGCACTGCTGATCAGCCCTAATAAGAACGAAACTCGAGTCCATTGCTTCCCTTTGGTGTGAACTCAAGTGAATAGTTGAACGGAGGACGACCGTTCAAGCGAGGGTGGTGTGAATATGAACAAAATATACACCTTAGTAAAACGGGACAAGGAGCAAAATATTTCTGATGAATACGTTATTAGTGATCGTCAGGCGCAGTGCATGGCCGAGGACAAAGTAAAACAATGGGATGGAGCTATTCATGCTCAAAGAAAGATCGTTCACGTAAACAAGTGTGTCTTTCTGAAATCGAAAGACGGGATTTACCAATGGTTTATTTAACTTAAAGGTGCATGCTAGCAGGAGGTGAGTACAAAACAATTTTCTCCAAATGCTGACGGTAAATTTACCTATTTTTTATTTTATAGATTGGCGTATGAACCTCAAACTTATAACCCGTTTAGCGTGGTTCTATTGTGAATTGTTTTTGGACCCCAAGGAAGGAGACGGTCTTAGTACTTCAGCACGATTTTTTTCAAATTATTGATACTTCTACTAATGACGCCCCACCATAAACCTTATATCATGTTACTTACGGAAGAAGAAAACTTTGATGCCTTGGTAATTGACTCACCTGACACCTACTGCAAACTTTGCGCTGCATATTCAGTCGAATGACAACAAAAACTACGGATTCAAAGACCCTTCAAAGATCCTTCGGATCCTGTTTGAATCCCCTGATTACAACTAGCGAGTACCCAAATGATCTGTGTATATCAATTCAACTTTCTTCTCCATCCTAATGGAAAGTAAGTTCCAGTGCAAATTTTGTGTGCAGGGAAATGTGAGGTAATCAGAACCTCAGACAAAATACTTGAACACGGATAATTAGAACGTGAGTGGTTACCATGCCATTGCCCATAACTTCACCTAAAGGTGACACACTGCGCATAAGATTTACGAAAACTCATTCACAGTCCACGACCGGTTTGGCCCTTCTTGGGCCTCATCATCCAGACACAGTCACCGAGTTTTCCTCACCTTTCGCTCGGTTTGAACCCGAATTGGAAAAGTTCGACACCATCTTATTTGCACAATAATTCGGTCTTGACAGAGGTCTCGACTGAACCCACATTTACAAAATCTAACCGTCATAAACGAGAGATTGGCTGGATTCAACTGGGTCTTCTGTCAAGACCGAAGCCGTGTGCAAATGAGAGTATTTGCCCATGGGTTTGTTAGGAACGTTTAAGAATGTGCAGATCATTCTGTTCTAATGCACAGTTTTTCGAATATTCACCTTTTACAGGATGATAGTGGACAATTCCAATTTTTACTGAAGTCCTAATCATCCATTTTGCCGCCTCAAAATTACCTGATAGTAAGAACTAGTTCCAATTTAGAAATTCACATGAATCTGATGCCTTGAGCTACATCCACAAAAGATTTATTATCGCGTGTTCTAAAGGGACACATTACACACATCTTTAACCCTGATTTAAAAGCATACTTGAAGTGATGTGTGATGAAACTTACTCACCAATTTAAGGACCCCAGACACTCATCAATTGCTGCCAGCTCCGGAAGAGAACTGCTAAACTGACGCGTAATTCCATAACCACCTGACCGCGGTGTTGCCCCTGCGACCATCCTCCTCAACAGTCTTTCACGTGTTTTCTCATGTGGTTTGCTGGTTGGACGAATGAACACAGCGGACCTCGACCCATGAAGATGGCCATCAATGCGATCCTCTGTCTCGGAACTACCTTCATCCGACTGTTTCCGGCTTCGCGTTGAATCCGGCGAAGTGCTAGTGGTGGTTGATTTATGTGATGTGATCACTGAAGGAACTTGCATTATAGAACCTCGTATCATACTATTTCTTCGAGCGATTTCACGTAGACACTGCTTGAAGTCTTCCTTGCTCACTCGCCCATCGCCATCATGATCCAGGTGTTGGATGAGTTCGCCGAGTTGCCGTTCATTTAGTCGTTTTCCACAAGCTTGTGCCAAAACTCGTGTATCTAAGTAGCCCTTTTTGTCTTCATCCAGTATGCCAAATAGATTGTGAGCCCGAGTGGAAATATCTTCGAAAATGGAATCTGCAGACGACGTTCGCGAGTGAGCCCGGTGGAACTGATTGCTACTTCTCCCAGAAGAACCGGAAGATTGATGACGGAGCTCAGAATTGCTCATACGGGAAACGGAGACAGGAAGAAAACAGCCGTCCAAACAGTCAGACGTGAGTATATTTTGACCTTAGGTCCTTTTTGTTCATGCTAATTCAGGGATAAGCTAATCATAGACATTCACGAATGTCCATATGTGTGCCTGTCTGTAGACCTCAACTTAGGCACCAAAAGGGGTTGTGGGTTTTTGATTCGTCGAAAAGCACGAGCAGGGTAGTAGTCCAAGCACGTACAGCGAAAAACTACAATGAGGACTAACAGTTGCGTGCAACGTCAATAGGAATGTAAGCACGCACATGAGCGTGCATTTATACACAAGGCCAGAACAACCCGGTCGATATGCATGTACTTTACCTGACGTAGGATCGGAAACTCCAGGACGTATACTTATGTTCGATTAATGAAGACCCACTAGTGCGTCTATCCGTATTTGCTCCGGAAAACAAGTGGCCGGTGTGGCTAGCTGGAGAGACATCGATTTAGGAGAAAAAGCTTCTTAACAAGTTGAAAAAAGCTCACAAAAACGTCACATTTGGTGTTTACTTTGATGAAAGTGTCATCTGTTGAGTAATTACGTCAATCCTACACAATTGGTGTCACTCCAGTCTGTTCATGCTAAAATAACTGGATGTTGCATTCCAATGGTGATTTTAACGAAATATGTACTTGTGAGTGTGCTGTAAGCGTCTAGCATCTGCCGTAGGTTGGATAAAAGGACGATCTTGATAGAGATTTCGTCCTGTAAGTAAATCCAATCTACCCATGGAAGCGCTGCGTACCTGTTTCATCCTCACTGGGAATTATCAGCAGTGTGCTCCAGACAGTATTGAATCCGCGACCGTTCGGTCACGGGTGGCTCACAAGTGGTCACGAGCAGTTTGGTACGAATATATATGGCAGATGACCGATCTGAAGCCATCATAAGGTTGCTACAACAACCCGGGAACTTGGAGTTTGGTAAGAATCAGTAAGTGGTATTGTTTCGGTAGGTCACAAAGAAGTTCGTGCCGCCAAGTCCGTTAGATAAACTTGAAAACACTAAGGTAGCGTAGATCCTTCCAAACTACACACACGTGCTCAGCGAAAACTGACATTCGTGGTCCATGGACTGTTCAATTCTCAGGCTTGGACAGCGCCGAAGCCTTTACTAACAGAACACTAGATAGTTGTGTAAGTCAGCTTGTTCGTGGATGCTCAAATAAACTGCTTGTAGGCAACTAATATTAACAGTTTCTTACGTTTTTGTTTGTGAAACACCAACAAGAAGGCAAGCAACTAATTTACAGGCTTCCATCGGGGTTCGAACTCATGGTACAAAAGACGTGATCCATAGTTTCATCCACTCGGGCCCTCGGACGTAGAAAATTTTCGGTTTTTAACTTATGACGAGTAATTTCCTCAAAGGAAACTGCTCATAAGATTGCTGAAAGACCTTCGACAGCCCACGACCGGTTTCGCCCTTCTTGAGGCTAATAAGGTAGGCGCGGCCCCACAAGTTTCCGTCAACCTAAGTTCCACTTGATGAGTTAATTTGATTCATCATGAATAATGTACCCATGGATGCAAGCTACTTCCATAACCAACCAGAATGAATTATGGAATCAGACCTCCATAACTCGAATGCAACTGCCGAAGATGCCACGTTCTGAGTGATGCTCAACTGTGCGTTGTCGCTTCACAACTGTGAACGACATTCATCTTATTCTTGTTTGCATTCAACAGAATCTATGTTCGGAAGGCTAATCAGCACTGTTTTGCCTTAGAAAAGTGTAGAGGCACTGGTAACAACGGACAGATGCCACTTCACTGGACATGGGTACACTCTGTTCTCTCCGAACTGTCTACAAAATGTCACAAGGAATTTGTTAAATATTGCATCATTTAATATTAATAAAATGTATTTGAAAGACCACTCTTGAGTATTTGTGGCCTTGGTGATCCGTTATGTATTCGGCAATGAAATTTCTTTGCTGGTTTCGTGCAATTTACAAGCTTACACGTACAATATAATCTCAAGGTCACCGGACTGACTGAAGTTGCAAGATAGTTGATACAGACCTTTTCGTTCAATAGACGGAAAAACTAGTCTCAGCTAATGAAACAACTCTTGAAAGCCACGTGACCAGGTCGCTAGATATCGCAGTTGCTTAGTCGAGTCCCAGGTAAAACGTGAATTGAAACCCGCATAAGAGTGCCTCAAAGAAGAGAGCAAAACGACTCCTTGTCAGAGTTAGTCTTGTTACGGGAAAGATTACTGCCAGTAGAAGGCGATCTGATGGCCCGATTAGAATGGCGTTTGTGCGCAATTAAAAAAAACTATGGTTTCGCTTCTCATTTTAGTGGGAATCCGACAGTGATAGTCGTCCACCAAACTTGTACCATTTGGTGCCAGTTAATGTTCTCGAATGAATGTACAGGCTAAATTTGGTTGTCCAAATGGTGCGAGAATCGACCGAAGCTCAGCTGACCGCCGAAAGGAGCTATAAGTCACGAACGTTCTATTTGCAGACAAAAGAAATCACTTCCCAAAGGGCTCGATATGAGTATCCGTTCCCAGACTAAAAAAAGTCTGGTTGTTGAAGTACGTTTCACATGCGAAAAGCTCACATAACAGAAAACCTGAGGCTGACTTCAAGACTTAGCATTTTTCAACATAATGCGACATCTCGAATGTCATATCAACTGGAACATGAGGCATCCTTTGTGCAGCACGTTCAGTAGAAGAATATCATGAACAAGAAGTTCAATTGAGTCATCCGTGAAAACAAAGTGATTTGCAAAATAATACAAAATGATTCGCAAATTGGTCTTTGTTGTAGCCGTAGCGGCAGTTCAGTATCGTTAGCTGCCAAAACACCAGCGCTTTGTTGGTACAGTGATGAACTGAATTCACCAACCAACTTGTATCTACAACTAGAACTTGTGGCAAGCTTCGCCTTACCTTGGTAAAATCTTGGCAGGCCTTGAGTCATGCCCGCAGACTCCGAGACTTTGCATGACCCGATTCTCTGTATGATGACCCTGGCCCGCTGTCCCGTGTGTGTGCGTATTTGTCGAAACCCTGTGGCCTCATCTTAGCCTAAGCTTGATTTCCAGTGTATATAGTCAATTGAAAAGATATGCTAAATAGTTGAATTCAGTCACTGTATGAACTCTTAGCCCCGGGTCACTTGGGTCTTGGATAATGCGGCTCGTGAACAGTTCCGTCATAAATTTTCGGCCTTCGGAAATTTTTGGCTACCTTTTTCCTTAAGCACTTCGGTCCCAGACTTTTTGACTTCACAGAATGATTACTAAGATTTACTAAGATTTAGCACCGGCGTTCCCCTATTATCGACCACTTGAAATACTCGTTCATAACTCGAGCATTTTGCTCTGATCTCAGTTTCACCACAACGAGGAAAGGATAAAGTTAACGACAACAAGCAGAATTCTTGAAATTTATCTTGAAAAGAAACATCATTCACTTTCTGGCTGGCTAGTCGAGAATAGAACTTGAGTAGTCGCAGTGTAATTTACATACATCTTCGAGGCCTCCATGTGCATGAATGTCAGTGCTTGTTGTATGACTATCCCTGCACCCTAGGTTTGACCACCGATGTATTTTTGTTCGTCTTCGAACTTTCCGTCAGGCGCCACCTTGGAAGATGCAGATGGTCGACCGAACCGGCTAAGTGGTCATCTTATCGCTCAAATGTACCCGCAGTTTAAGGGTGACTTTTGATCGTTGCTTTTTAGGCCCTCGTCAGAGGTTGCCGCAACCCACTGGCAATACTCCCCTGATGAAACTTGATGAAGTAAGTCATAAATTTTTGGATTATTCTTCATGAATGACATGCCCCATAAGCAACCTCTTCAGTTGATGGAAATATCAACACATCGGTCATTCTACAGAACAACCGAAATGAATGAATATATTTGTATCTTGTAGTTTCTCACAATGTCTGGACCTCCATGCGGACCAAATAGGATGGTAGGAACACGAATACATATTACTGTTCCTGTTGAAGACCAAGGTAATCTCCTTTAGCTTCACCATCGTATTACGTTAGCGGGTGTGCACATCCGGAGCCGCTGAGTGGCAAAATAGTGGTTCATACGGTGATCTATGCATGTAATGAAACAAATCTTACGCAGATAGCAAACAGGCGTTGTGCACCCCCAACTGAGCGATGTAAGACTGACGGACTTGGTTTGGTTTCACGGAGACTGTTCGAACCATCAGGCAGCGAATGGAAGCGAAATGAACCGTACATATATTGCTGATGCTCAAACAAAGTTCACCTGCTATTCATACGGAATATCAACGTAAAATGCACTTCAGCCCCGTAATTCTTCAAGCAAGGTAGTATGGATTCATTCGTCGTATCATCGGATTAGGCGAACAAAATTTTCCACAATTCTTTTGAATTAGGCTGTTCCTTCTGTTAAAAGAAATCAACTATAATTCAATGCAACACTAGATCAAAAGCTTTATTTTATGGTCAGCATAACCCAGCAGGTTATTGGAGTAGTTTCCGGCTAAATAAAACGGCTAGTTGGTATCAAAACCGAAGCATCCGACTAAAAACTGCCGGGTTCCTGGGCCTTCACATAAACGCTCCGAAATATCCGGGTTCCAGTGTGAAAGAGTAAAAAGTTTTACCTAGTCATATAACTCTAACTGTGGCAGCTACAGTGTTGATGAACTTCAATGCAGATAAAGAAACCCCCAATTAGCCGGTGTAATTTTTCAGGTATCACAACATATATTTTTGGCAAGCCAGCGTTTCATTGCACACGTTCGATCACTTCATTAACGAACAGGCACCCAACCCGTGCGAAGTTTATTACTGATGATGTTTTGAGTAATATAAAACTCTAATGAAAACGTCTGGCGGCACCTGGTTTCTGCGTTCCCACGGCAGTCTGACGAAAAGTGTACCGCACAGCTTGTTTTCTTTATAGATTCTAGCCGTTACTCTGCCTAGACTGCTCCAATTTTTTCTCAAAGCAGAACGAATGCTA